TAATTCTATATTTTAGTGCAGGTTCCTAGTAATACTTCAATCCGACCTTGAAGGATTCTTTCATACTTATTTCATTTGCAGGCTATCTTGAGGTGTCTTACATAACCGAAAAGTTAATATGGAAACCATTCATCACTCTCCACAAGAAGGGGCTAGTCTGCTTCAATGCCGTTTTAATTATTCAAATAGCTTGTATAATTTTAATGGTGTCCGTATAAAAACTCCTTATACAAAAAGACTATCCCAGTTTTATCCCTTTTAAGCAATCTACTAGAGGGTTCTGTCTATCTTGCATTGTTGGTACATTATTTTAAAAATTTAAGCACCTGAAGAAAGCTTGCTCCCGGGCTTCATCCGTTTTAACACAGTAGGCCGTGAGCTCTCTGCCCAACCATTTAACTGAATTTTGTGCAAATTTACATTTTTCTAACGTAATTTGACATTAAACGTTCCATATCTCCTGACTAAACCTAAATGTTTATTATAGTGTTCTTCCTTGGAGTCACTCGCCACTAAACAATCATCAACATAAACGTATGTATCAACTAAACCTGCAGTAATAAGATCTATACTTCTTTGATATTCAAAGGGGGCAGTAACGTAAAGAAAGGAGAGCACTGTTCATTGGGCTCGTCTTCCATCCGGTAGGGTGAATGCAAAGTACTCTTCCTACTTCCTTTTGTTTTTTGTCGATCTCTCTTTACTAAAAACCTCTAGCGTTAACAAAAGTGCTGAACACACTTTTACCTCTAACTATCATAGTGATATGCCTTTCATTTGGCGCTCTATACCGCTCTATAATACACCTGTCGTTTAAACCTTGAAGGGTGTCACATTCTCAAAAACGTTTCAGGTGATCTCTTAACTTCGTCTGTTGTCGGTCCTTAATATATCGCTTCTCTACGACTACTAGTATATGACTCCAACATCTCTCAGTGGTTCCTTCTAACATCCCAGCTCCAGAATTTTCGCACTCCCTCATGATAATCGTGGCTTTGGCTTTGGCTTTGGCTTTATTTCTCATATTTGCACCAGGCAGGCGGAACATACTCATTTTTTTGTTTTACCTTCAAGGCTCTAGTTTCATCACGCTCCTAACGTTAGGGTCCCATCTAAAATTGTATATCCTCCGAGCTATATGTTTTTTCTGGCTGACTTTCACTTTGTCTAATATTAAACTCAAAGTTGCTTTTCTATGCCACGCATGCCGGTTTTCGAAATACGACACTACATGATCTATTACTTTGTTTTATGGTTACCCTGCTTTGGGGAGGTGATCAGAGGTATACCTATTACTGTGGAGAGACTAAGGCTTTGTACTTACACGTCGAAAGACGGGCTCTCAAAATTGGTAAAAACCACGTAAGTAGATAAGTATTTAAGCAGGTGCTATCTTCCCTGTATTAGATGGACTATTACTACTGTCTCGAACCTATAGCTCCAAACGCTTTCGTTCTCAACTAGTCGCTACTAAGGAGTAGCTACAAAGCAACTTAGCTGTTTCAGTCAATAAGTTAATAGTAACCTAAGGATATTTACAGATCATCCCTTGATTCACTAAAGGAGCGTCTCCAGATGGCAGTTCTAGTACTCAATGCGTGGAGTGAGTTCAAAAATATACGAGTTTAGCATAATATAGCTCCGTAAAGTTAACCAAGATGACAGATATGTCTCCTTAGCGCCAAGACTAAGTGTGTATAATAAAAGCACTAAAATTTAGTCTATAATCAAACTAATAAGTTATTTGACTAGACTGCCGGCCAAATTGTAGTTCAAGTGACTCATCACCATTGTTTCCCACTTTTTCCTGAAGCGAGGAGATTTGGTACCTAATTTTTAAAATTGGCACTTGCTTAAAGAATGTCTAAAGCCCTAGTCATATCGTGATTAACTATATGTAACCGCACCTTCGCTGGTGCTGTTTAGTGTAAAGTTAATTGGTACGACCTTTTCTGTACAATAAGCCCCTCCTCCAAAAACTTTAAATGTGGTACTTTGGTTGCGCAATAAGTTTTTCCAATTTTAAACGCTTCAGAGGCCTTGTGGATAAAACTATTTCCTGAACCAGAGTCTAGAATTAACCGACGAGTAATACCTGCCCTAGAGGCCTCTCAACTTCATTACAAACACTATTACTATTACTGCAACGAGAATAACTACTATCTCTGGAAGTAACTTCATTTTACTATAAATATCTTTTTTGACCTTAGTTGGTGTATCTCTAATAAACTTTAGCACAATTTCTTTGGTTTTCCTCTAGTAGCTTTACCTGTATAACCACCTCTGCGATTAGAATATACGTCAGCAACTTCAAAACATGGCTCATTACTACTTGGCGAAGGTTTTAGCTTGAGAGTATTAGCGTTTTTAAACATACTACTTCTCCGTCCCAGTGCAGAAGGTCAGACCCACTTTTTTTTCGCTGAACTAATAAAGAGCACTTTCGAAAAAAATTCCTTAGATAAATCTTCGGTCCTAACTATACTTTCCTACGTTAGAGACATACAGACCCATAATATCGGTCTACTTTTTGGCTTACAGTTAAAAAAATTTCTAAATTCTCTTTGGCAATAAGAGGCGTAAATAAATCATGAGGTCAGCGTCCCAACATCAAGCTTAAAACCCATTTCTTTCTTTAAAGCTTGCATTTCTTTACTTATCAGCCCCCACAACTCTTGTCTTTGTTTTCTTAGGTGTTCCCTTAATTCTTGCGGCTGACTACTTACGACCAATGTGAGGTCTTCAATTCTGGACGATTTATAAAATCGTTATTCTTACCGGAGTTGACGTTTGTATCCTATTTTAGTTTAGAATTCAACTGTCGGTACGCGTAGTATAATATTAACTATAGCGCCTACTCCAATAATGTGGAAGTAGGAAAAAAGCAGAAACAGGTTTACCGAATTGCTTAATGCTTACACCGTATAAGAAAAGTAAGGTAGAAGACGCGGTTATACAAGCATTTATACACTAATTGTAAATAGCATTAATTGCATCACCTAATTTTTGTAATAGCCTTTATTCGCTATAATTATCAGGAGAAGCGCATAAATTCTCACGACATGCTTGCGTCTCGTAACTCTACACTCACTTCAAACAAGGCACTTTTTTGCAGTTGCACTAGCCTTCTCAACTAATTCAGAAATATCATAGTCCAAGGTAATACATTTCTAAAGAGTAATTCTTTTTAGGGTATATTAAAAAAATTAAAGATTCGCTTAACTTAAAATATAAAATTAAGGAGAGAATTTTAATTATTTTCAAATAACAAGTGTGTAACGGGAGGGTGTAAAAATAGAAAAATACTTAAACCATTTTATGTCATAAAAAACTTTAAATTAAAAAAAATACTTTAAATTTATATTATTTATTTAACCTTACTGCTCTTATATTTTGTGTAATTCTTTCATTTCTTTGAAGGCTACTATGTATAATATACGTTTATTTCTTGCGAGCAAAATAAATTAAACTAGTAATAACAGTTAATAATTTTCTTAAAATACTTACCGATAAGTTAAATCTTCGTACAGTTGCTGAACAAAATTTTCTTAGCAACCTTCCTTTTTCCTCTTCTTGTTGCTTGTTTAATAGGTAAAGACTTTAAGTAATTCTTATAGTCCCATAAACCATATCATGTTCTAAAGAGGTGTATGCAAGCATTTTTTTTTGTCCATCTGAAGCTCTGATTAGAAGGCTTATAAGTAGTACTACATATTTTATATTACGAAACTGCGAAGATCCGAGCAGGTATAGAAAAAAAATATGCAACTTTGGATTATTAAGCGCATGGAATTTTTTAAATATCAAAAAAATAAAGAGGATGTAGTCGATAAATATCATTAAAGCGAATATTACTTAAACATCCTCTAGTACCACAGTTCTTGCTACAGAGGCTCGCAAACCATTACATATTGATACAAAAATCCTTGGAACTCATACTTTGAGAATCACTGGAGAGCATTGGAATTATCGTAGAGTTGTTCTTACGCTCAAGCGTGCGGCATAAAAGACTAACAAAGTTTCAAAAAAACAGATAGACGGTTTTATTCCGTATGGGATGGCCGGAGTAAACAAAATATGGATTTGTTTATGGTGTTTTAACTACGAGGTGTTGCAAGCTTGCCGAGCCTTGTAGCTTTGTACTGCTCAGTAAATAGGCTTTAAATAAATAATATCCACAAGTTTATATAATAAACAGTTAAAAAACGAGGACTTTAACTGCTCAAAATTTAGTTTAGACTTCATATTTATTTTTTTTTAATTTATCAAATATTTAGGGATAATAAAGAAGTATTTGTGTTTCCCTTGTACATTTTACCGCCTTAATACCTTTACCCAAAATAACTATGTTTATTTACGACCCATTGTTAGGGTTCGAGAGATTAACAATTAACTAAAGGAGAACTAGTAAAGACAACCCTCTTATAGGAAACTTAAAAAAAGATCAATTTTGATAAGCATTTTTGAAATATTAAAAGATAATAAGGGAAAGTTTTGACGATAGCATTTTTTTCTTTTAAATTTTGATTGTATTCAACTTCTCTAAATATTTTTTACAATAGTTTATATTATTTAAATTATTTAATTCTTGTACAATCGCCGAGCACGTCTAGTAAGCATTTTAAGCTTTTAATGTTAAAGAAGTCCTAGTAGAGAATCGAGATACTTAGCACGCGTAAGACGAGGACTAAAACGTAGCGAGTGCAGTAAGTTTTGCAGATAATAACTAGATGCCACTTTTTTTTTTTCTGGTAACATGTAATAACGTGTGCGTTTGCGCGTATTTATAAAAGCACAGGGGACTAATTAAACTACTAAAATATAAAAAATTTAAGAAACTTTTAAAAAACATCTAAGAATTAAGAAAACCTTAAAATAATTTAAAGTTATTTAGTTGTGCAATATGAACGGTAATCCATTTAATGTCAAAAAATTTAATTTATCTCAAGCAACAATCTTCCGCTACAATCAAAGTATAGGCCAATCGGAACTTAACATGGGCATTTGCTACAATAAATGCTTAAAATCGCGCAATTTTTTTTTCTAATGCCTAATTTTTTCATATCGCAGAGTAAAGCGGGGCAGAGAGATTGATTCAAATGGAATAACAATAGAATTAAATTTGCAAATATAGAAAAATTGAATTAAAAAATATAAAGATTATATTATAACAGAAGATTTTTATATACCGTAACGCCTTGCAAAGTAATCAAAAAAATAATCACGAGTGAGGTTTTACAAACTTCCCTTGAATCCAAACCCGATGCATTTTTTGTTGTGTTTTCCGATTAACGATTAACTTTTCATCAAGTTCGAGTTGCTCTTCAATAAAAGATAATTCAATCATCATTGCTCTTAAAAGCTCTGTATGCCACAAAAGTTTTACTTATTAAATTTTGATTAACGTTTCTTAGCAGAATAAATGTGCAAACTACTCCGTTCTTAACATAAACTACAATGAATCAAAAAAAACCTTTTTCAAAAAAATAAGTGGTCGTGCCGTCCCCTCTTACGTAATAGTTCTCAGAAATATAACGATTTCTCTTAAATCGAAGTTGAGAAAGATCAAATCTACAAACGATATTAAAAATTAGTTTTGTTAATAACTATTAATTAGTGCTCAGCAGTACCATAAGGAAGTATATATAAATTAAATCTAAAACGATGCTATAACTAAATTTGTTAATATAATAAATGAATATCGCTAAGCAGTAAAGCAAGCCTACAACAATTTTTAAATTTAAATTGTTTAACAATTATAAATGTTTAGCATTAAGCAGTATATAAAAGTTTTCACAAGCGCAGAACCTGCCGTAGTCGCGAAAAAGTAATTTTCCTCCTGGCTTCAATAACTAAAGATTATTATAAAAAGTAAGTCGTTTTCTAATTATCCTCAAAAAAGTTAATGATAAAATTAATGTGCTTATAAATAAAAAGTAATATAAAAATAATAAAATTTATAAAATGTAACTTTTAAATTTACTAAGAAATATTATTAATAATACTTTAAAACAAAATAAAAAAGTATTAACAAAGCTCGAAATTATAAATCCTACGTAAAGTCTATTCAAAAGCAATTATATATAAATTTTTTATTCTTGAAAATTAAATTAAACTCCAGTACAAACAAAACGTTAACAACTACTAGATAATGCCAACGAGTAAATTGTTAGTAAAAAGAAATCGACTTTATAAAAGTAATAGATTAATAATAATTAATGAAAATTCAAATAATTTATAATTCCAAAACATCAAAAAATACACAAGCCGTTCGGTATACAGTTATATTTTGGATCAATTAGATTTATAATAAAAATATATAAATTATGCAAACTTAAAATTAAAAAGAGATATAAATAAAAATCTAAAAAATTTAGTAAACAAGAATAAAATTCACTTTGTTCAAAAATTTAAACAATGCTCAGAAAAAAAATAAATTATAAAATTTTTAAATAACTTTATAAATTTTGGAGAGCACTAAGCGAAACTTTTGCGGTGGGATTGCTGAAAGAGTAAAGATGCACGTACAAAAGTCCAAAGAATTAAAATCGACAGGATACTGTTCAGCAGAGTCAGTAATATCATAAATAAGCACGCGGGATCTTTTTTTATCAAGATCAGTAGAAGAATTAAGAAGCTCGATGGCGGTAGAGGAATGATCAACGCCGTATACGAATAAGTCCGGATTTAAATTATTCTAAACAGTTATAACAAATTTATTTTATTTTCGTAAAAATAAAATAATTAAACGTTGTGTATTTAGAAAACTATAATGACTAAATTAAAGTTAGCACTAGAAAATTTACTATATTAAAACGAGAGATGGAAAGGAATTTATAAAAATTATTTTCTTTATATACAAAATTGCTAACTACTCAGAATACTTTTAAACGCTTTAAAAAATTGAATATAAAAATTATTAAATGCTATATAAATTTAAAAGAGCTGGTTTTCGTTAAAAGGCTTAAGCTCAAGCTAATAATTTTCAGTAACCAAACTGTTTCAATAAAAACAGTAAATTTTTTTGTAAAAAAAAAGGATCAATATAAGAATCTCAGCATTATTCTAAGTAACTCTAAAAAATATATTTTATTAAAGATTATAAAAGTTACTCTTAAGGATAAAGAAATAATACAGATTTTAAAAATTCATATTTTTTCTTGCAGAAAAAAAGCTTTAAAAAAAAATGGCGTAAAACAAAATTTAAATTAATTATAAACATTAAGTAAAGGAATTATAGTATTTCCGACACCGCAGCCAACTTCAAGTATTTTCAAAGGTTGATTTGTTATCTAAAATTAAAGGATTAATATAAATAAATAAAATAAAAAATTCTTCCCTTCCACCATAATGTTATTTCACTGATTATATTTATATATAAAACTAAAAAAAACTTGTACAAGTAATTCAGGAAATTCTATAGATATCCAGTTTCTATTCTTAAAAAATTTGTTTTGATGCACGGAATAAAAGAAGTCCCAAAATTGTGAAGACTGATTTTCATAAGTAGTTCTATCTTCATCATTAACGCAAGTTTCCTTCTGGTTTTCTACCTTTAGAACATCATAATATAGTTATTATATAGTTAAGATTATTATATATAATTATAAACTAAATTTTTTGATAAAACGTAATATTTTATAATAACCAAAAGAAGGGCAAATTTAACGTCTTCTTCAGAAAACTTTACATAATCCCAAGCATTAAAAGTGAAAACCAAACCTTCATCGCTTAACAAACGGTTTCCTAAGCTACAAGTTTTAGAGTGTTTTTCATTTAACATTAATAAGCTAAAAGCAATGTACTCGAAAATTTGGTAAAGAAACAAGGGAGCCATCCACGTGATTTACCTCGTGCGACCTCCCTCATAATTCGGAAAATAATTAATTAGACGTAAGCTCCCGTCTCTAATTTTACTTTATATATTGTTTAAATATAGTTATGCATAAAATAGGCTTTATAAATTATAAAATTATATTAGAGGAGGTGTAAATCCAAAAGCACTATTAAAAATTATTCAGATTTTTATATCGCAAACAACTAAAAATTTATATTCATAAAGCAGTATTTGTTCACTCGTTATACTCATTTTATTCAATTATTATTATAGAATGATATATAAAAGTAATATAGTATTGTGTATTATAATAAGCTAATTAAGTAAGTTATTACATATTATGAAATTAACTAGAAGGAATGGATAACGGATATTAAATTAACCTAGGCTTATCTAATATAAAGATACTTTTTTGTTTTCTAATCTCCCATCTTTTGCCCTTATCTGGGGAAATTTGCCAGTAAATATAGTTAAAGGAAGGTTTTAGCATTAATAAGATATCTTTATAATATAGAAAATGATATAAGTACAAGACACGAGATTCTTGGACATCCAATCCTTCCCCTGCAAAAGGTCCTAGTAGAGACCCAAGTCAAAGCAGTAAAGATCAATCCTAATTTTTATAACCGTAATATATAAATTAAGGAGAATTATGAGCTTTAGTTTAAAAGTTTGTTTTCTTTAATTAATATTGTTATTTTAAAAGTTTTCCTTATCTTCATTTAAAATTTAATTATGACAATACCAAGTAATACTATTTAATTCCTACCACACCGAAGTAACTGCCTACCCTAGTAGGACAGGACTTACTGAGACACCGAGTTTTGACACATCTGGTCTTCTCTTTAATCTCCCTGCATTATATTTTGACCTAACAAGTGGATTAGACATACACTTAATACTTTTTTCTTGCCTAGTTTTAAATTTTTAGCTGAAGATCAAGTAAGATTGTCGAGCAGTTTACAACATTTGCCTACACAGTTAAAAATGTAATCGGTTAAACCGAAATAGTAAGAAAAGTGATACCATTTGAATATTTTAAATATATTGAGGGAAGCTAGTCTGAGACGGTATTCTTATGAGTAAAAAAGAAAATGATAAGCAGTAATGTGAATATTATGAGTGCGAGAGAAGATCATAATAATAGACTTAAAATTACGCTATATAAAAATAATAGCTAATAGATAAGAAACACATATTAAGTTTTAAAGGGGTAAGTTAAATTGACACTACCTTCATTTGCGGTAAAAAAAAATCTAAGCGTGATGAATAAAAATTGAAGCAAAGAAACAAAATTTAAGGTAAGTGATTAGATATTTTTAATAAAATAAAGACAATCTAATTATGAAAGACGTATGATTTTAAAAATACATATAATACAATCAAACTATAAACAAACTAAAAGATTTGAAAGAATACTTGGTTTGTCCTTATTATACTTTTTAAAAAAGATAAAATAAGTTTATATTAATATGAAACTATTTGGTCCTAGCACCTTATAGTTATTAGGCTTGTTAAATTGTACTGCTTTATTTGTGTGTAAAATACCTTTATATTTGGTCTTTCTGTAATTATATCCAGAAATACTTAAACTGTTCCTTTTTAAAAAAATTAATAATTTAAAAGCATTTTCAACTAGAGTTTATGTTTAGTGTTCACGTATGGTGTACTTTGTGCTAAAGTGCTGCAGAGAAAATATTGGTTCTAGAAAATTGACAAACGGAAGGGTGATATGGGAGTTCAAAGACAACAGTTTTCGGTCTTCGTTCTTTTTGATGGTTATATGCCTTCATAGCTAATCGACTTGTTGTTCTCTACAGTCCCATGTTGCTTTAAAGTGACAGAGTGAAAAACATTTTTAGGGGCCATCAAAAAACACAAATAAAAATTAACTAATATAGAATTTCTTTACAAATTGATAATTATTTGCATTAATACCAAAATTTTTTAAAAATGGTAATTAATTTGAACCTCGATTTATAAACGGAGTTACTAAATAATAATGATTTCTTGGCGATGTTGCGGTTTATTATATTAACTGCGATATACACAGACTGTAATATATATAATGAGTTATTTTATTTACTTTTTTGTTTTGAACACCAACGGAGCGTTATAGTTAACTCCTGTAACTTCTTTTCTGAGCGTATAACCTTCAGTAAATATATTCTACCTATTTCAAGCTTTTTATTGGTGCTCAAGGGTTTTGATCACAGAATACGCTAAACTGAAAGTTTACTTTATAAAAAGATGGTTACAAACTAAAGTCCGGTTCTCTACTGTGCAATTTATGGTTACTGTCACAAAAGGCATAACACATGCCATATAAATGAAGCTGTTTTGCAATCGAAACATTTTGATTTAACTTACTATGCCATACATCGCACAATTAGTTTAAAACAACTCGATACGTATAAACTCTACTATATTACAAAATAAACACTGTGTATTCTAACAATTTTCCCTTATTGCTTGTGTAAAAGTGATAGTAAAGGTTATTGCGAATATCCTAATAATGAACGGTAGTTGTGTTTTTAGAGCCATTACGGCGGTAGTAGTGCACGCGAATATGTATAGTAAACTTGCAGTAACACTACCCAAAAGAGTAGCCAATGCCGGAAGGTAACTAATCTTTAATCAAAACAGCATGATACAGAACCCGTATCCCTATATATCGATGATAATATTAAACCAGTGTCCAACTATCTGGGTTCTAAACCACATAACCGGCTCCAGCACAGAGCACAAGGTTATTAACATTACTCATTCTCAAAAAACAGTTTCTTTGCTTGCTTTCGTTCTTCGCAATTCGCACGGAATAAAGGATTAAGCCAATAATTTAGCAAACCTCGCTTATGTTTCAGCACGAGGTCCACAAACTGCTTAATTGCGTATTAGAATAAACGAAATCAGCGCAAGTGCCCGGGTACTAAGGCTGAAATGTAGTTAGCCCTTCGTGTGTCGCTTTAATGTTTAGAACGCTACAAAAGTCAGCCGAAGGAGCTATGTGAGTCTAGTTAAGCACTGGAAGGAGCCAATCTAACGACAGTCTTAACGATAACATACGCCCTGAGAGAAAGGTAAGATAGAACCTACCGCAACTCTAAACTAGCCCCAAGTTTTTACCTAATTTAAGAGCATATCCTTGTATCCGTGTCACACAACGTTAGAACTCTACTAAGTAGCGTACAACCCTGAACCCAAAATTCGACTCAGGAAGGTACAATAGTCAAGGTTCTTTGGTTTTTTACAGTCCTAGGTTTCACCAAGTCTCAAAAAAAAAAGCTAGCTACATCTTGCTGAAAAGAAACAAGATAGGAAGCATAATAGAAGAAGACCTAAACTCCTCCAAAGAGTAGAGGGTGCCATGGTCCGAATAAAGGTGGATTGATATTTGTACGTCATTCCAACTTAAAATGGCACCCAGTCAGCAACCCTAGACCGTGACCCGCAGAAAACCTTTGGGGCTAACGCCAGGTTGGACGCGTATCGCACAATAGGACGATCTTTTTCGGCTGTCGTACAAGGTTAGCCGTGGGACAAAGAGGAATCTTCGCTTTATCAAGTGTACAACATTTAAAGAAAGCACCAAGAATAACTGAGGCGAATGAACCGAAGATGGATGCATTATGCTACCGCTAGTGGTCTTTATATGACGGTTCAACAACATCATTGTGATCGTAGGACACTTGAGCGCATACGAGCGTTTAAAATGCTAAAAAGATATAGACAGAAAGATAAAAATACTGGTGCAGACTGGGGCGTCGCGGCATAAGGACGTAAAAATTCGTATCTCCGTATTAAGTCTGTTGAGGGCCTCTATTGTAAAAGACGACACTCAAAAAGGGAAAAGAGTACTATTACCCAGAGTACTTATTCATTCAGGGTGTATATTAGATTGTTGTTCGCTCGCACTAGCACTATTTTGATGTTTATTCAGCAGTACATTGGAGATGCTACAATAAGGTAGCACTATTTGACTTCACCGATGAGTGGGTCACCAAAAGAGGATAGCACATTCATAAACATCCCAGAGCTAGCATACTATAAAAATAACACACCTATAGCTAAACCAGTTCGAGCTAGTTAGAAAGCCCCTAGAAGCAAGGTACAGAAAAGTTTGCACTACTCATAATGCAAGCCTCTTAGCTAAAGATACAGACAAACATTAAGATACAACAGTACACCCGTAACTTTTATTCAGAACTACTTATTAATGAAGCAGGGTTTGCACAACATAGCCCCAAGACAATCAGCATGAGAGCAACTCATCTAATCTGAGGTCTCCGCGGATCACAACCACCGTCCAAGGCGCGGCTAAAGACACTAGTAGAATAATACCAAGAAACGGTTCAAAACCACGTAAGCCTCCAACACAGCTTTCACACTAGAATCTTGTATTCCAAAGCCAGAGTGTAACCGGAAAGATAATATTAATTGTCTATCAAAGGACAGAAGCACCTATCGAAGGACTCGTATTTGAGGAAGGTTTTACCATTATTGTGAGCAGCTTTTCCAACCCAGGGCATAACCGACTCTAAAGCTCTCCTAAGTATTCCATAATCTTTGAATTCAGTTAACATAGGACGACAATCATATTCATATCTTGCTGTGAATTAGCATTCCTTAGAAATAAAAGAGAAAATCGAATAATACTCAAGTCTACTTAATTCGTCTAGTTAAAGTCCAATTAACCGGGCCTTTATACGGGGATATTAACCAGCGCTTAACCTTCTCTTCGTTCTCAAGCTAAGGAATAATTAACCCTAGGATGGATGTCAAAAGTGAAAAATCAGTATTGAAGCCAAAAAAAACTTTATAAGATAACCTCGCTCATGACACCTTCAAGTTGTTCGCTATAATTTATCTTCCATTAGATATACTGATACAAGCCCAGTCTTTTTAAAACCCGTACGAAGTTGTAATACCCGAAGAATAAAGCTCCAAGTAAATTCACTGTTAATCAAAATGTCTAAGATAGCTAAAGAGAAAAGTTGTAGTTAGAGTTAGTTAAAGTTTACACCCTACCCCAGGAGACAAGTCACTACTCTGAGTTAAAATAGGCCTACCAACATAGCTTATTGTTTTAATCAAGTCTTTAAATGATAGCTCAAGTCTACATCACTATGTTATGGAACGTTGGATAGCGTGTCCGCTGCAACGCTGCTGGGATGAGTCTTATGAGGGCGTTCAATCCCACATAGCACTTTCAAAACGAGATACGAAATTCCTAACTAATTTGATGCTAACTTATTTCGACCGGTTAAATGTCGGTGTTTCACTTTGGTTCATAAACCCGAACACAGCGAACTCCAAGAAAAAAAGCAAGAATAAAAATTAAGCCCCCCGAGTTAGAGAACTGATAACACTACTCAGGATACCTCAGTAGCACCGTCCGTTCGTAACAATACCGGAGGCGAAGATGCTACTTTAATATAAGACCTCTTTAAAGCCGAGGTTGACAGCTGCTTCCTTGTTTGCATCCCCAATTATTTACCTGCCCTCGTTGAAGTACTCTTCGCCTTGGAGTAAGTTTAGTTCCTATTTTTATTTAAAATGTTAAGAGGCATGAACTAACTCGTTTCTTACAGAAGTTTTACTTTACTATAAAACTAAAAAGTGAAAAAACTAAGAATGTTCCCTTGTTACTAGTTTATACAGGTTAGGATCCCTCATCTTAAAGGATTAGGGTTTGAATAACCTAAAAAATTAATTAAAAAAGGTAAATGGTAAGAATTCCGTACGTACAATTCTGTAACGAAAGAATCGAGAAATTGTTACAATACCTTTCTCCGCGGTCTGCCTATGCGCTTTTGTATGCGACACTAATTTATATTCTTTAATTATTTTATTTTTTTCATTATTTTGTATTTGTTTATGTAGAACTGGGTAGTAGTAAAAAGCTAAGGTACAAATATAAAGAAATTAAAAAAATCTTTTGGAATAAATAAGTTGAAATAATTAGCTTATATAACTATATTTGAAAAAAAAATTAGTAGCGCTTTTATTTAACGGCGTAAGTAAAGAAGAAAAAAAGTTTATATATAAATGAATTTTTTGCTAACAGAAAGCCTCTCCTCTTTATTTAAAGATATTAAAATAAAGTAAAAAAAAACAAACATTTAAATTTGTGGCGTAAAAAGAACAGTAGAAATCCTTAAAAAAAAGTATAAAATTTAAGCTAAACCTTAGGCATTCTAACGGGTAAGTAAAAAAAACTTTCGTATATAAGTTAAGACAAAGTCTATTAAAATACACAATACTTCAATGAGACGATTATACCTCTTGATGAAATGAACTTTTACATTATCAAGAAAAAACGAACCATTTTAAAGAGTGAAACAAATTTATCGTTAATTTTATTTACACTGACGTACTGAGTAGCTACCCTAGACAAAGTTTAACCAACTTTTACTTTTAATCTTAAAGAGCAATTTTTACCACTAAAAGTAAAACGGCAAATTTTAAATCTTTTTACCCAAGTAAAACAATATTACTAAAATACCAATAGCTGGTAATAAAAAAAAATGGTGACAATAATATTGTCAATCAAAGTTTATTTTTTAGTCTGGCGATAGTAATGACCCTTATTTTTAACATATGTAGAAAAATAACAAAACTACCTAGCAAAAATTATTCATAGTTCTGCTACTTAAAATGTAAAATAGAAAGTTTTAGTGTGATGCTGATAACGAAAATAGTGGGACAGTGCGATACAAATTGAACAAGATCGGCAACCTCGGGTTGCTGGGCCTTAACCGCTTACACAAAACTAAATGCGCAAAAAAGATTTATAAAATTTAGAATTAAAAAAAAAAGAAACCTCTTAAAGTATAAATTTTTTAATCTATTTTCAATATTAATTACAAACTTTCAAGTAAACAAGTTATGCATAGCTTTTATTTTTAACCTACAACGATAATTGAGATTCACTTTACACCTAACTTATGACGCCTAACCTTTATAAGTTTTGCTTTCGTTTTATCAGCACTTCTTAAAGCTCTTATAATACGGTTAGTACGTCTGTTTTTTTTCTTTATAGCTGCCTTTCGCGACTTCTTTATTTTAACAAATCTGTACATAATATAGTGTTTAAAGCTGAATTTTAAAAAAAGAATGTATATATTACCTACAAACGGAGGCAGATAAAGGAGATCTAAAACTGCTAACTACTTTCTCCTCTAACGAAATCAAGTTATAAGTAAAATCTAATTGATATTAATTATAATACATATACTAGTAGTGAAGAAAGCTAACCTACAGAAGGTGTAGATGAAAAGGAATTTCCTTGCAACTTTTTTATTTTTTTACCCCTCTTTTTATTACTTTTTTTTTCCACTTTTGAAAAATTTGCTAGATTGCAAGTAAACACCTCTTTTTTTTGTGGAAGCGAACACTTAGGAGGTAATAAAAGATTTTTTCCGAGATTTAAATCCAGACTAGGCTCAAGAAAAGTTTCATTCCGTGTCAAATAATTTGTTGATGTTAATTTAATATTATTTTCGGAACCATCATGGAGATTAATATTAGAGATTTTGTCTATTAAATCTTCATATATCTTCAACTTTAGTAAATTTGAATTAGTACTAAGTTTAGAATTTTGTTCATGCTTTTTAACTTTAGACTTCCTTTTAGATTTTTTCTTTTTCATTATTATTAATCCGTATACCATTCATAGGGGTGATATGAAGGCACAGAATCCACAAATAATAGAAAAAGCAAAATTGTTAATAGAAGTAACTAAAGACAGCAGGGGAACTCGTCGCTATACTGTAATAATTAACACACGTGAACTGTAGGCGTGCCATGAGCTGATTGAATACTCCGTATAATTAAAAAAAAACCTTAGAAAACAAACCTATTATAGGTAAACAATTAAGGGTTTTTTTACTGTCAAGACTGCTTTATGGCAAAAATCTTTCTACTTTGCATTGTGCGTACCTTTTTTTATGCGATATAATATTTGAGACTCCTAATATGTCAAACTAAGTAATAAGGTGAGGCTTAGTGTGGGGTTGTAGTTCAAATATAATGTGCAAAGGGACAGCGGAGAAAGAAAGTTTCTAATTATTTGGGAACCGAGGTAGCGTTTGGAAAAAAAGTAAGACTAAATTGCTAGATATCATGAGTACAGTAAAAGTGTGAGCTACATTTTTAGTTTGAGGAGAGATTAATTGTTATAGTAATGAACACAAAATAACTACCTTCGTTAGAAAAAGTTTAAACTAAGTCCACCTTTAAAATTTTTTTTTAAGACTAAATAACAATAAATTAACAATTTTAGAAAAGAGAAGACACTATCCTAATTTTTGTGGCGCTTACTATAATAATAAACGAGTATTATGACATCGAGTTACTTATAACTTAAAGGACGAAAGAATATATAAACTGCTATCTGCAATAACTAAATTTTTTTTCTTTAATTAACTAATTAAAATTTTATGTTTTAGCATCTTTAAGTTATAAATGTAACTCAAGTTATCCATGAGAATTTAAATTTTTGGCTTAAGTTTTCTGACTTACGATGAGGCCCTTGATTGAAGGGTTCAGTTGGCTTCTAATATACAAGACCTGTTAAGCAGCAAATATTTGCAATATTCGCATGAATATACATACAACCCAATATATATATTTCTGAATAAATTTTCTAAACCGATTAACTCCTTTTAATTTACAAGGCAATTACGTTATTAAATTTAAAATTTCTGCTTTGAAACTTATTGTGTGATACAACACAGATCCTTGAAGTCTTCGGGTCAAGGAGAAAAGGAGTATTCAAGTTCATAAAACCATGCGACGTAGTTTGATCAACGTGCTAAAAGTCGTCATAATATGCGAGATAGCTCCTTTAAAGTAAATAATGAGTAATCGTGCACAGATTAAAACGTTCATTTGTAAACGTGCGCTCCCCATAACGCGCCAGGTAATAATAATAATAGATCATGCAGATACTCCTTAAGCAAATTTGACCGAAATAGCGATTTGGTTCGAGCTTGCGTAATCTATACGCACACATCTTAGAATGGTCAAACTATGAGTTTTTGTAATTGCTGATTTCACAGACTTTAAGTCTTCAAGACTTGTATATTATAGACAGTAAAGTATATAGTATAGATAATATAGTGTATACAGTAAAGTAATGTAATATAGGTAAGTCGAAGTACTTGAAAGCTCTTTAGATTTTGTAAACTTTCCAGACGCGCCAAACAACTATAACGCACACAGAAAAAAACAAAACTGCAACCGGTGCGCGATTCAAACTTGTATAATAACTTGTGAACTGTCCTTAAGCACTACCCTCAATTATAAGCGTTAGTCTAAACAGAAACCCTCATTAAAACGTATTTGTCCAAAACATTGTTCTTGCAATGTAATTATTTTTGCTTTATTTAGACATTTATAGCACACTAAAAACTTTGATATAAAATTACTAACTTAAAAGCTTTATATTCAAAAATAAGACGCAAATTAGGTAGAAAACATACATCCAATACATAAAACTTTGGATATTTTTAACTTATAATGCAGTAGCTATTACGTACATACTTTCCTCGTATGGTTTGGATATCAAAATAAATGAAGAGACTTGAAGCTGCGAGGATGGCCGTCAGATCCCTGTTTTTGCCTTAAAACACTTTAAAAAAAACATTTTTCACCATTTTCTATAAACGAAGACGGCGTACCCGTTACAAAGAGGCAAGAGAAAATCAAAAGATAGTGCGCTTGCAGCTGATTAGTTACGTAAAAGAACAGGAAAGAGACAAAAAGTATTGTGGTCAGCAAAAGCTAACTACTGAGGTTGTCCAAGTATGCGAATTAGAGTAAAATTGTAGAAAAAAGGAATAACAAAGAAAAGATTATTGCAACTCCGGCTACTTACTTTTCATATAAATTTTTATAAACTGTGCAGTAGTTCGTATATACTTTTAAAGCGCTGGATATAGCAATTAACTCGATTGCTCTGAAATTACACTAAAAAAAAGTAGGTTTTTAGTATACGCTTATAGTAGTTTTAAACAGGATTTCATCTTTTTTTACTTTTCTTAAAAAAATTAATATGCACAAAAAGGTTCGACGAGGTTGTAATAAGATGAATGTCTAACTAGCAATCTACTTTGTAAAAGTCCTTTGTCACGCGTTTAGGATAAGGTAAAGCCTCACAAAGTGCTTAGGCTCAATATGATAAGTTAAACAAAAATGATCGAGTAAACTCAAATTTGGAAGCAAACTAAAAAAAAAACACATGCTATAGTAACTTCCTTTTTAGTAAAACACAAATAATTTCTTCTTGGTATTTCCTTTTTTCCTAAAAATAAAAACACAAGAGGTTTTATTTTGCTTTTGCATTGTTATTTAAAAAATCTGCCAAATATTTTTTATGTTTGTTACAAATACCTCAAATAATATCTTGTTCCCGGCTAAAAGTACTTCAACCCGTTCGGTTAAAGAGGACTTGGTTACTAGTACAGCAGACCAATACGCAGGCTACGACGAACTGCGCTTTCCCATCAGAAATTCAAGACCATCGTGATACCTCCTTCAGGAGAAATACGAGGTCTGCTCGACTTATTGTGCGCCGCAAAAGCCAAAAAAAAAACTGGGCTAATTTTTTATCTCGGTTGTCCTTGTTATACTTTTTAAATTAGAATGATTGTTATCTCAAATACTGTTTTTTGGTGGATAACGGGTATCACACACCTTCCTTCTTATATGCCATATTATCTTTAAAAAAATTTAATTATTAATTAGTATTAGTAATTAAAAATGATATGCAGTCGTTGCACTACACTTGTCACTAAAGTGGACGGTACCCAAGGTGCTAAAGGAAGTATTAGCCTTTAATCCCTGTTTTTTTTAGTAAAATATTAGTGTTCTAATTAAATGTTTTACAGCTAATTTATGACACTTAAATGGGTTTGAAGATGCCTACACCTTGTAAGATATAATAAACAATATTTAAATCCAATAATATCGAAAGGGTGAAACAATGTATATTTTATATAACTCCTTTCAGCGTTTATGATTAGTTCTGCTTTATAGCTATTTGAATATTTTCATATATGTTGTTACCCGAAAGAGATCAAAAAGGTCATATAGACACGAAGTTTAAGCTAATTTATTATTTAAGCAGGGATAATATAGAAAGATAACAAGCTTTTGTAAACAAAAGAATTTTATAAATTTGTAAATTTTTTTTTTTTTGGTCTTCCTAACTTAATATTATAAGTCAGGGCTTATTATAAAGATCCTAATTAAATCCCACTAGTTTTAAAACTTATCGTTACATTACATCATGAGCTTTATAGACCAAATTAAGAAATCTTACATAAATGATTAGTTTATTACCCATTCTTTAGAGTAAACCGCCAGCAATATAGTCAAATACGACTTGTGTCGTTGTTTGCTAGCTTATTATTAATAAATTTTTTAAATAATTGTAAGAAATAACCTTTGAAAAATTTTCAGTAACTTTAACTTAAGCTACGCCTAAATAGGTTTTCACAATAATTAAAACTTCTTCGTAAATTAAATGATTTGCATAAAAAAGTCACAAGGTTAATACCCGCAATAAATTTTTGATAAGTAATCCTTCTACTAATCATTGCTCTTCCTTCTCGTACTTTTCCCCAATTGTAATCTTGCTAGTAACTTTTTCTCGAGGGCCTGAAGCTTGCTGACCTTTAGCACTTTGTAATCTTTTGGTCTGCCAATCAAAAGCATCCCCTTTATTTTTGCTCCCTTTTAAATTTTGAAGCATATTTTTTCTTTCCTTCTGCCTAAAAGAATGATTTTTTAAAATTTAATAAGGCTTCTTCTCTTGAATGTAGCAGTAACCTGGCCTCTAAGCGCTTAAGTAGAGTTTCCTGTGAAGGAGCAACTCTCTGAATCCTTTCAACGGGGATGCGCTGACCAATCGGCGCCAGAGCGGAAAACTTGTAAACACATTTTGGGGATGCTTGCGAAACTCTTTCCTTTGACACGACTATCGTTTTGCTTAACACTTTTTCAATATCTGCAAAGCGATTAAATCTTTTTTAGCAAACGTAATAAATCCAGAATAGCTTCGAAGCTAAGCCACAACCAAACAACTTTAGACTTCATGAATATATACTTCTTACCTAATTCCTTTTTCTTCAAATCTAAATAATCATCCACGTGGTCGAGATATTCCTTCCGTTGAACTTCCTTTTGCTTTTCTTTACGGGATCGTTCTTCATCTTCTTTCTTTAACTTTTCTTTATGCTCTTCATGACTCTTTTTAAGTAAATTTCTCTCTAATTTTCTATTTTCTTGCCTGCTTTTGTTTAAATTTACAAATAAATTTTCTTCTACTTCTCCAGTAATTTTCGGATCCTTCAATGCAAAATTAAACAATCATTATAAAAATTAAAGAAGCAAAAATACCTTACTAAGCCCTCTTAACTGACTCGAGAGGTCAGCGACTTTTTCGTGGTATTGCATAAGAGACTGCTGTATGTCAGAATCTTTTCTTCTGAAACATTTCAATAATTAAATTTAATAAAATTTCACGTAAATACTCACAAGTTTTCTTTAGAGCCTTCCAAAGAATTTCTTCTCTGTTCTTCAGAAATCTTTTTTTTTTCTTCGTACGAAGACTGCAATTCTTTTAACTAAAGCGATCGTGACGAGCACAGTCATAAGCTAAACTACAAAATAGTAACTTTATTAGTTGCTGCTTGTAATTCTCTTTCCAGTTTTCTAATTTCCTCTCTTTTCTATATTTAACAGAAAATTTTGTAATGACGGAATGTAATTTTAGTTTTAAAAAGATGGTAAAAAAAATTTCAAGCGCATCGCGACGACCTCTCTCTCTGCATTATTCTTCTGGCGTTCGGCCTCCTCATTCTCCTTTTTTCTTTGTAAATTCTGTGATTCGCAAACTATTGCAGCGACATCAGCTGCAGGTTGCTCTAAGTTTTCATCGCTTAACAAACGAAACCTTGATTTTTTAAGAAAACGAAAAGCTGAAAATAACCAATCACTGAAAATTCAGGAGGAGAGTATTCATCTCCGTTATTATGCTTAAAGATGCACGAATTTACTTCCTGAATCTACACAGAAAGAATAAAACTAGTAACTCGAAGTTAATTAAAGAAGGCACTCACGTGGTTATTACAAGTTTGTATGCGAGTTTCGAGCTGAGTTAAAATGGAAGGGCTTGCGGGATCCGTGGAGGCATAATAGACCTTTGAAAAAGGCAATTATAAAAAGAAACTAAAAAAAGAAAATTTTGAAAAAATTTACTTGGTAAAAACTCTTGTAAACTTCCAAAACATTGATGATATTGTCCCTTCGTCGCATCAGATCAACTAACACGTGGTCGACGGGGCCAGAGCCAAAGGCGACTGCCGGCGCTTGAACGTCCGGGCGGCTGGGGGGCGGCACGCAGGAAGGATCCCACAATTGCGGTTGTTCTGAATTGTAATAAAAAAAGATCACAGATTTGTAGAGTCACTAAAAAGTTGAGTGTAACCGGAAATCACTTCCAAGTAAGTGGCCGGGACATAACCAGCCTGCTTATCACCGGTGCATACAACCCACCAATCACTGTTCCCGTCTGCATCGTACCTGGACACTACAGAAACTACTTGTCCCCGTCGGATCTGCAAGAAAATTGATTGGCCCGCCCACAAGTTGCTAACCAAAAACTATGCTCTAAGAATTTTTAGTACACTACCGTGAGCTCAGAATCTGCTTGCGCCTCAAAATCGTAAAGCGCTACGGCCGTCTGGAATTCTTCCTTGCCGTTCTCCGCGTCTCTAAGATGGTGAATCTTTTCCTTAACGTAACTCTCGTTATCAGCTTTTCCAACGTCTTCTTGAAGCGCTTCGATGCGAGAATTAAGCTGTTTCAACATTTTCCTCTGCTCAGAAAAACAACTCAATACCGCAATTTGTAATATAATATATTATACTAGGAAGTCAATTTGCTTGTGGGTTTCTTGGATCACGTTAGAATTATCCTCAGAAAAAGTAGTACGAAACGAGCTTAGCAGTGACTCCAAAAGTTCTAAAGTAGCTTCAAAAAAAAGATCCAAATCTGAAAATCCATAAAAATCAACATTTAATCTACCGACGTCACGTGAACGCTTAGCCAAAAGTTCCAGCAACACGACGTTCTTCTCGCTGGACGGCTCGTTTGAGCGCATTCTTAAGAAAGATGCTGGGTTAGAGGCTTTTAAAAGCATAAATATATTAAGAAAAAAAAGCGTTAATCTTATACTAATTATTACAGAATATAGATTATACACGTCATCTTCCACAGCTGGAGGAAAGTCGGCAAAGTCCTCGGAAGATTCATTTTCTTTATGGGAGTAAATCAGGCAGTGATCGTACCAAACATCGCACTGCTCCTTGGATTCAAAGGAGAGTTCAACTTTAGCGCCGGAATCGTTACTAATTAAGCGAAACGAGTTTTCTGAAATCTTTTGAAATTTATAAAATAATTAAAAAAACGTTTAACAATTAAGGCGCAATATATTTTTTCTGTATAAAATTTAAAACTAATTAACTTTAGGAGTAATAAAAATAGGGAAATAAAAAAAAAGTAAATTATAATGCAACGAAGTAAAAAGTTACTCTAGTCAGCGCCAAAGATGAAGTAAGAAATTTTTCTCGAAATTCATATTTAAATTTTGAAAGCGGGCCACACGTTTTACAGATGATTAAAACTTTTTCAAATAAAAAGATTCTTCTTTTCTTATGCCTAAGAATATAACGCGTAACGTAATAAATTTTAAGTAGCAGAAATTTACAATGCATGAATTTTCGAGTAGTAAACGGTGGCGTCCTCCTCAAGAACGAGGTAGCCAAACTCGCGGTGGCCTCCTTCCAAACCTGAGTGAAGGTAAATATGTATATAAAAAGTATAAAAATAAATATTAGATAGGACTTAAATTTACCAATTTTAAAAAAAAATTAATAAGCATTAACGAATAAATTAAACTTAAGAGTTGACCGTTAATAGAATGAAAAAAATGACTAATTTCTTCATGCCGACGTTTAACTTCATTGATTTGCTGACAAAAGCCCCTGATTATCTAATTAGAAAAGATCGAGGAAAAACTTTATATATGTATATTATTATTATTAATTACGGCTGCTGCCGACTTTAATGAAGCATAGTCGGCATGAGCGGGAGAAGTATGTCTCAAGATGGCCTCCAACAGCATGGGATAGCGAAGCATCCTTTGAGCTGGAAGCATCAAGTAAGCCTCTAAAGGCAGTGCCCTTTTAGAATTGTTCTGCTTCACTTGTAACCAATCATTAATCTTATCATCCTCCTAAGCTCGAGATATTATAGCAATAAAGATTATTGTAATTCTATTAGTTTTCTTCCTCACTCTGATTTTCTCTAGAAACTTAAGAGAGTCTTCAACCTCACAACAGAAGATAGAGTACACCTGCAAATCGCCTGCAAAATCCAAAAATACTTTACCAATAGGTGTAGTACCCTCCTAAAATAAAACGAAGTTATTAAATTTCTGCTCTTAGTAAAGCGTGAAAATTTATAATTACTTCTAACTTTTGAAGGAGAGAACAGGCTATGTCATAACAGTCTTCAATATTTCCAAAGATAAAAGCTATTTCGGAAGAACCTAAACCTTTAATATTTTCTTCACAAGCTGGTTCTAAGTAAGTTGAAATCACATAATATAAATCTTCAACATAACGTCGCTCTGTAGTGAGCAATTCGCGTATTGCACTTTTGCGCTTGCTATTAATAACAGGTTCTTCAATTACCTTTTTTACCCTAAAAGGAAAAGTAAATTATTTTAATTCAAAACTACAAACATTTTAATGGCAAATAAAATGAAATAAAAAAAAAACGACCGAATCATAACAAAAATAAATTTTTAAAATAAGTAAACATAAAGATACATTGAATGAAACACTGCCTCGAGAACAAATATACTAACTGACTTTTAGCTAAACTTAAAAGACAAATATAGTTATTACGCCACTGTTGGTGTCGCTCTCTTTTTAACTTATCGTTAATCTCTATATCCCTATTAAGAAATAAGGAGGTCGAGGTCTTGTTTTAAGGCCAAAAGTATATTATAATAAATTAATAAATGAGAATTTGAAAAAAAAAAGGGTTTTAGAACCTAACTTAGCCCTTTTCCGTTTATGATTCGCAAACAAAACCCTTTATTAAAAAAAAATTATTATTTGCAAACCTTATACTTATTTACATTGTATTGTAAACCTGTTTAAGCACTTTTTAGCTTTGAGAAAGAACTAGTATTAATATCTTCATCGCTTCTAACTGGCGTTCCATCCCTTTAATTATTGAATTTGAATAGATTAAGGAGATTACATATAAAAGTTAATTACAATGTTTTCTGCTTGCTGCTAATACCGAATATGAACAACAAAACAGTGAATGCCATGTTAAAGGGGGGATGTTTATACATTACGCGAATATGAAGGAAGAACAACAAAGCTGACTTAGTTGGGCCCAATGCTATCTTACTACCTATCAAGATTTTTCAAAGTTGATGTAAACCAGTAGGGATAATATAAAAAGCAAAAGATTTAATATAAAGTTTATAAATATATATAGATACTGCCATTTTCCTAATAAGCAACAACAAGTAGGGGGAAGAATGACTGGAAGGAATCCTAGTCAATGTTCTGGTGGCCTCGGGTTCTAGTGCTCGGGTCCTCTTCCCAGACTTGAATAAACTGCGAGCTAGCATCTGCAAAAGTCAATTATATTATAAAAAAACTAACGACAAAGTTCCTAATTTCCAGACTAAGCAGACTAAGCTCAAATATACCGAGTATCTGCAATAGTCGTTAATAATAATTACAAAACTAAAGACAAAGCGGGTGCACGTTCAATGGAATCACCTTGTTAGACTTCAGAAACCAAATCTCTAGGAGCGTGGATAGTAATGCGGTGAGGAAATGAAATTGTGACTATTCTTGAAAGAGAGCTCGAAGTAAAATCGTGTTAACTCGAACAGACGCTAGGAAAAGTCGATAGTATATAAAAAAATAAACAAAAATGATGCTTTTAACGCTTTTTTATAAACTTTACCGGCGACGAGCACCTAGCTTTCTACTAGAGAGCATTATAAAGTGTTTAAGGCTGATCTTAATAAAGAAAAACAACGTTTATGACATTTATATTTCTCATAAATCATACGATACACTCCTTAATTAAAAATTGTAGCGCTATCGTGCAATTTAATTTATTTTTTTATTTGAACTAATTAAATAACATATTACTAGATAGCTATTATGGGGTGAATTCGCAAACATTGAATTCAAAAAAGGTTGAGCTTAGCCGATTAAAACGTGATATTGCTCTAAAGGTACTTCTTTTTAAATGTTTTAAGTGCTTTCAAACATTATGAGATTTAAAAAAGAATATTTTATAGCCAGAGAAGGTAAACGAAGAAAGTTCTTTTAGTTTAGGGGTTTGACCTTAAGAAAAGGAATTCAATTTTGTTTTTATTCTTAAACAAAAAAGTTAATGTAACGTCACTACCTAAAATTAATAATTAAAGGATCTGAATTCGTGCATTATGTAAAACAAGATTCAATAATAGCTTAAGTAATGAATAGAGAGGAAAGCATGTAATAAACAACTTGAATACTATGTGTTAGTACAGCAAAGAAACGGGGTTTGTAGAGATTAAAAAGGCTAGCTTCGAAACTGTTATTATATATAATAAACAAAAATGTCCAAAAAAAATCTAAGACAAGGAAATAAATCATTGATTGCACAAATTACCTACGACGCCATCTAAAACCATTCAGTACGCCCCCTTTTTATAAAGGTAACAAGGAAACCTTCTTAATATGGCTTAGAAAATAAAAATTTATGGTCTTTACAATCATGAAATTTAATGAAGCGTTTAAAAATAGATTAAACGAAAAAATTAAAATTGATAAAATTTAACAGTATTTAACGTTTATAGTTAAAAGTTTTTTTTTAGTAACGAGGAAACTCCTATATATGGGAAATACGCCAAGCTTATTGGAGCATAGCTTAAGAGCGTGTAAGTTAACCAATCAACTTAGAAATAAGGCATATATAATCCAAATGATTAGTTTACTATCATGTGTAATTATGTTTCTTTAAGTGAAAAAATTTGTTTTAAGTGAGCGCAATGAGCGAACAGGATGTTAATGATGATATATCTGAAAGTAGGGAGTTGTTAAGAGAAGAAGGTCATGGTAATATTAACGTATATAATTCAGATACTAACGGTTTCATTAAAAATGAGAGATCTTCAGAAAAAGACAACTTGAAAAGTATATAAATAATATAGTTACATTAGTATATGGTTTTAATCAAAAAAATAAAAATTGTATTTATAAAGCTTCTTCATCAAGTTATACACGCTCTTCCTTTAATAATTCATTTTCTCAAGATAACAACGATTCACCCGACTATTACCAACTTTCCTATTGGTATTACTCTTAAAAACATCAAGTTTGGTTTGTTTAGAAAGAAAAGGTTTTACCCTTCATTCTTTTTATAAGGTCACCAAACTCAAATGAAGGAAGGGGATTTAATCGTAACATACCGGTGAGCGACAAAGTTACTGCCGTTCTTTTTGAAAACCAAAGATGGTTTATTTGTTTTGCTTTTAAATATTAAAATAGGATGACCTAATTAGTTAAAGTTTTGATTATTAATTAAATAAAAAAAATAATCTACAGTTTCAAAGGCTTTTACTCTGAAGCTAATTATTTAATATTTTTTTCTCTATATTTTTTTTTGAGACAGGTACCCCCTTGTAGGCTGGGAGAGCCCGCTACCCACAGAACGTTCAAATTTTTCTAATGGCGATGGTTCACGGTCATCTTCTAAAAGACCGTTAGCTGCTCAAAGTATCGTTTGTTGGATTATAGTTTATTAATTAGGATTTGGTTTTTTTTATTACTTAATTTCGCTTAGCATAAATCTTTTTTCCAGGTTTTCTATGGTGCGTTGACTTTACTAAATATCCAGAGTTTTGTGATAGTGAAGGTCTTAAAATTTATTGTTTTATTATTCACTTCCTTATTTGGTTATACAATATTTGCCTCTTATTTTTCACTTTTTTTATAGTGATGTGGTCTTTAAAGTTCCTTTGCTATTTAAGTTTTATATAAATTTTGGATTTTTAAAGAAAGAGTGAAAATTATAGCAGATTTTTCAGATCTATCCACCTTCCAATTTTTTTTTTTAAAATTTACTATTTATATATTTAAATCTAATTATAAAATGTTAACTCTTAATGCGCGCTTGTAGTAGGAAAGTGCTAAACACACGCACGAAGAATATAAAGTTTTTCAGATTTTTTTTCTTTATTTAACTTCTTCTACCTCACAGTATTAAAATTCACTTTAATCTATTATACTCTCATTTTTTTTGACAGGATGGTCTTATGCGTTTAACTTTAATCACTTTTCTAGCGCGGAGTCGCAGGGAATTAAGTTTGTCTTATAGTTCACTTTACCACATTTAATTTATTGATTTAAAGTTTATTTTCACTTTTATATTGAGCTGATAATTTTGTTAATTATAGAATATATACTTTATTTTAAATTTTTTTCTTTTCTAACTTTCTTATTTTTTATAACATTTTTTTTATTCAAACGGCATAGTTATAGTTAGTACTATTCCTTTGTGAACTTGTTAATTCTATTGAAAAGTTTTATAATTTAATTTATTGCTGTAACTTTGTGTTTTTTTAAGATTATAATAACTATTCTTTTTAAATGTTTATACATTTTTATTTTATTGTTTATTTTTATAGAACTTTTATTAATGCTCGAATTAAATAAATCCTTCGCTTTTTTCACTTTAATTTTTTTATAGAAAATTATAGAAACATTATATAAAAATTTAAAAAAGTCATTTTGAATTATATATAATATTTATGAAGTGAAAAAAAAATTTTTTTTTAACAATTTCCTTTTACTTTTTTTTAAAGTACTGGTAAGAATTGTTTTGTGCGCCGAAGAAAGTGGTTTTCTCCAGTACCTCTATATTTACTAAACGAAAAACAAAAAGATTTGGAAATTTCTGCTGGAGTTGTAGTAATATTTCTAGCCTTTTTTATGTATTGAAAAAATCTTTTTGATATAAATTTATTCTTTTTAAAAATATATTTATTGCTTTTTTATTTTTTAATCACTTTAATAACAGAAATTTATATTTTTTGTTTATTATATATTGTACTATGGTTTTTTTAAAAATACATTATTTTTAATTTCATTTTTAGTTAAATAAACTTATATATAAGTTTTATTATATTTTAGTTCTATTTTTATCAAGGGACGTTAACACTTACTATTACTCCAATTTAAGTTATTGTTTTGAAGAAGTACTTTAAAAAGTTATATAAGAAAATTTTATATTTAAAAAACTATTGTACATCTTTTATGTATTTGCTTTCATGTCATTAAAATTAATAAATAATTCTGTAATCTTTTTTGTCACCAACACTAATTCTATTTTAAAGAAAATATTTATCTTAACTTATATTCTTTTTCTATAATTAGTTTGATGACAGCCTAATTTGGACCTTGACGGATTCTGGCACTGAATGCTTGGAAGATCATTCGCGTACTTTGAGCTCATACTTTTCGCCGGGACATACAAAAAGAAGAGTTGTCACACTTGCAATTCTATTTGGAATACTTTTTAAATTCTCTTTGGGTTTTTCAGGGATTCTTAGCTGTTGATGGTTTTAAAAGGCTTTGTATTTTGGAAGGTTCTCATTAGCTGTTCAGTTTTTTTATACCGAATAACGGTTTGTGTGTTAAAAACAAATTTGAGCAGCGGGCCATCTTAAGACACCCAGGTTGCGTAGGTTCCTCTGATATTGAGAAATAAGGTTTATAGAAAAAAATCAAACTCTTAGAGAGGTGTAGACTTTGTGTTAGAAGAATAAGTATAGAGGGGGCAGTCCTCCAAAAACACATATTTTGGGTAGGTTTACTTTTATCTTTGAATAATATTAGGATTGTTTATTCCACAAAATCAATTTTTTAGAGAGAGGTGCAGTTTTTGTTAATTGCAGTCCTTAACAAGTCACATATAAATTTTAAAATAGCTGGATTTGAATATTATTTAAGATGGCATTGTTTTTAAATAATTTCCAGTTTTACACTAATAGAGTTAAGGATTATGTAGTGGGTCACATAACGCTTATCTTTGTTCTAATTTTCATGGAAAGATTACTTCCTTCGATCATCGCTTTAACACTGCAAATCATTTCAATTGCAAATTACAGTTATAAAAAGACGCACACTTTGCTTTTAGAATTTTTTATTTAGATCCATGACAACCGCAAAAACCTTTGTTGGTTATATACCGTAACGTTATTATAAAGTTCTGTTCAGTAACACTAATTAAAAAATAATCGTATTTATTTATAAATAATAATATATTTATAGATTCATGTCTATTTGTTTATATGGAAGACTCGTACGCTTTACAGGTCCGCTAGGCGTATTTGGTTTTATGTACTTGTATTTTACTTTAAACATATAGAAAATGGCTAATCCGATTCTCGTCTTGACGCTTGATAGCGTCTACTCCATCCGACCGGTTCCTAACGGCGGTGGTAATAAAGTATTGATACTAATTTTACTTACTGGTGAGAGCCCACATTTGCTTTTAGGAGAAAATTACCATATTCTGGATCACCCTTTAAGTTTTATATTTCGGATTTCTTTTAAAAAGGACTCGTATGCTTTTACTGGTTATTCTATATTTTTATCAAGATTATATATACAAGTCGTTCGTTTTGATATATATTACTATTTAGGGCCTAACCGTAGGGAAGTTATAAGTTGGTTTTACGACATCAAAACGGTCATAAAGGCGAATAGGAATTTAGAAGCTGTTGGTGGGGGTGCGTACTGTACTCTTAAATTTTAGAAATTCTTTTCTAGTTTATTATATTTTTTTTATTACCTTTTATAACAATCATTTTGGTTTATCTCTTTAATTACTTGATAATAATTTATATACAAGTTCTTATTACTCACTATTTTGTTGAGTAGTTTTTACTATAATTCATTATTATTACCTTTAAACCTTTATTTATATCTAAAAAGTTGGTGCTGGCATTGCAGCTGGTTTAGCCGCTCTCGCTGTTGGATTTATGATTTCAAGATCGAGCCGTTGATTATGTCAACTTGAATTTTATTTAAAACTTATTAAAATTTAAATAATTTTAATGTATATATTGTTTTTAACTTTCTCGTTGCCCTTAAATAATTTTTTCGGTTTACTAATATTATTTAACTTTCGTAAGATTGCTACACCAATTTTTTTTATGGTTTAGCTATAGAATTATTATCGGCATCTTCCAAGAGGTTCTTTCGCAAAAATTTTTTTTGCTGTAACTTTTTTAGTTAGAAAAGTGTTATTGCTTCTCGACCTTTTACTTTTATTAAAACCCTTAAATGCTAGGGCCAGAGATAGGACCTTGAAGGGTGAAGTTGGGTCCTGGTAATAGTTATACTTAAAAAATGCTGTGCACCACCCCCCTTTTGTAAAAAAGCATAACCGTGCAATTATATGCAACTATACTTATATGTGTAGCGCTGACTTATCATCGTCTAATCTTCACATTCGCAATAAATAAGATATGACCCCCGGCCTTGTAAATACAGATTCAATCAAACAAATAATGTCCTAATATTAATAAAAAATAACTATTTACATACTGTTAATATACTTAATTTTCTCTTAACCCCTTTTTCGACAGCGTGAAATGTAAACCTACGTATTTAAAGGCATCATAAAAATTGGATTTAACAAATTCGGAGGATGTTACTTATTGCAGTAACCATAGTAAGAACGCTATTTCGTTAGAAATTAAAGTTAATAAAAAAAATTCTGCTAAAAATTGAAACACAGCTCTCTTTAAAAAACTAATTAACCATCAAAAAAAACAGTTCTATATCTTTTCAGGAATAAAGTCTATAATTGAACAAAAAAATATGTACATTCAAAGCGTAATTTTTAAGGGTAGTATGACGCTAATGTTAATATAAATGTGGACTAACGAGGCGAAAGCGCTCTAAGTCATTCCAAAAGGGCACAAATAATTTATACTACAGAAAAATATATAAAAAGTGATTAAAAAAAGTGAGGACACCGCTTTATAAATCCTTCATGTTGTTAGTATAATTTCAGTCCACCTGGCTAAAAAGCTATACAGATTGTTTAAAGCTTTCTTATAAATGCTGTTATACTCTTAACCGTTTGTACTTACTAATAGTGGTCGCTTTAAGTCAATATCAAAATATTTAATAAGTTCTTTTCTGTACCCCGCGCTCATTTCGAATTTATTATGAATTATCGCTTTTTAAGTGTGGAATCCTTAAGATAATTTCTCATCGTGTTTATCTTTTGAAAATCTTCTTTAATAATAGCGCATAAATGATTAAGTCCGAGTTGTTGCTGTTCTAAAAACTACAACGAAGTGAAATGGGAAAACTTTCAAAAGTTTGGTACTACACAACTTACCTGATATATTTTTCCTATACTATTAAAATCAAGCTCCACAGGCCGCACAGGGGTTTCTATCCTGTCTTTCACAGAACTTTATTAATATTAGTATAAGCAAACATAACAATAAAATAACTAATACGCCATAATACGTTACCGATATATTGTTTTTAGTTCATTTAGCTGACCTTGATACTGAGTGGGAGGAGAAACCAACTTTTTCTATAAAAAAAGAAAAATATATAAATGCAAACAAAATTGCTTCGATAATCAAAGGAAAAAACATGTATATCCTCCAATTTGAAGAGAATTTCTTCTTCTTTGCGGGTTAACCCGGCAGGATGCCGAAAAGTTTGGTTATAAAACTCGAGAGTACAGAAGATCTAAAAACATGTCAGAGACCAACGTGGCGCATAGCAATAGAAAAATAGACTTCGAGGGTTCTCTGCGCTTTGGACACCACATCGCGCTTGCACTGTGCGAGCAATGATGCTGTAGTAGCTTTTAAGCTATTCCGGAGGGTTTCGAGTTGTGCCTGAAGCCGCTTTTAGATCGTCAAAAGCCATTAACTTTTAGCGAACATGCAAAAAATTATAAGAAAAACGTATATTACGGCGATAGCAGCTTGAAAGAACTGTGTGTGCTGTGCGTGTTGTTTGAGCCTTTTCAGAAGTCCAGCTTCAGTTCCCTTCACAAAGTCAGGAATAAAACTAAAACGAACAAGGCGTTAGTTATCAATATAGTTACAATGCCTCATATATATAAGCAGTACATCTTCTTGTCTGGATTATCCGCGCACGCTAAAGCCCATAACTGTTGTGCTTCAGTATCGTTGTTCTGAAGTATTTCGGGTGGAATGCCAATCAAATCTTGCAAAGAACGGCCTAATAGTGGTATGATTTGCATATAACCTTTGCTTCTTCATAATAAGGAAAACCACAAAAGTAACCTTCTTGTAATGCGAAGTTAACGTGGCTCGGTTCGTTTACCTTGCGATAAAAAAAAAACTATATTATATAAATAAAAAGGGTATAACCAACTTTTACTTTTTGAAAAATACGCTTAAAAAATACCTTAAATTTGTAGTCTGGTGAAGCCGGATTATAAACACCCTCTAGTTCTTGTATTCTGTAGAGGATGTCGACCTAATTTAGTAGAAAAAAGTAAAAATGCAAAAAAGCGTGCGACTCTCGCTACATGAAAGGTCTGTTCATATGTAAATCACTGTTATCTCAAAAATCACATCTGAAAACACGGGGAGTAAAAAAAGAATCGTATAACGTTAACCTCTACAGAGTCTAAACCCTGAAGAGTTAAGGAGCTATTAGGTGGCTGCCCTCTCACGGCACCTATAACATATCATAAAACCAAACATGCAGTAAATATCTACACAAATAGAGAAATCATATAATGTTTGTACTTTGAAGAGCAGCGTTAGAGGAGCCAAACGGATTTGTTCCAAAACCAGCACTCATAAAACTACCAGCAGTCGTGGGAGTTAGGCCTACCTGAGCGCTCGTGCCCCCCGTGGATGCCCCGCTCCAACCAAATGAAGTCCCCGCAGTGGACCCCGCCCCGGGAGTGGTGGTCGTAAAGGACATGCCGAGAGCGGGATTCGCCGAAGATTGTCCAAAAGAAGAAGTTGGCGCCGTGCCGCCCAGAGCGAAGCCCGTACTTGTTAAATTGGATGTTGACAGGGCCCCAGTGGGAGCCAAGCTAAACGCTGGAGCCGACCCAGCCCCTCCGGATGCTGAGGTACACCAAATGATCCCGACGTTGCCGAGATAGTGTTCATTGGTTTAGTTCCAGCCCCACTAAAAGCGGATCCCGTAAAGTTTGTGCCTAAAGCAGTTGTGTTTGTTCCGGAACCAAAAGCAGAGTTCATTCCGGTTCCGCCAGCAGCAGACCCCGTTGAACTTGAACCAAACCCAGTCCCGCCAAAAGATCCAGTCGAAGCTCCGGTACCACCGAAAGACGACCCCGAATCAAATGTAGATTTTGCTCCCGTCCCGGCTAGAGTAGGTCCGGATATACTGATTGAGGAAGATCCTTTTGGAACCGAACTGAATGCTACATTACTTCCAGTTCCACCAAAAGAAGATCCAGAAGAGGTAGAGGCGAATCCTGAGGTAGTCCCAGCAGCACCAAAAGTAGAACCCACGGGGGCTGAGGTTGTCCCTTCGGAAGAAGGGCCTGTGTTTGTGGAGCCGAAAGCCGCATTACTTCCCAGCCCGCTAAAAGAAGAGCCGACAGTGTTTGTTCCGTTTCCAAAAATCGAAGAGGACCCAGAAGAGCCAAAAGTCTGACCCGAAGTGGCTGACGACCCGCCAAAGAAAGAACCGGTAGCACTGGGATTCGCAGTAGAACTAGTTATTCCAAAAGAAGTACCCCCCGCATGGCCAGCTTTTAAATAAAAAAAAATTAGCTAAACGTTACTTTGACTCGTGTTCAAGACTAAAATTTTTATATTAAGCAGGAAAACTAATACCAAAAAAAACCCAGCTAAACCACAATTTGTTGTTAAGGGGTAAAAAAATGTACAAAGTTTGTACCAAAGAATTTCTACATTTTTTATAATTACTATTATAAAAGTAATATATATGGTTATATTAACTATAAAAAATACTTAAGAGAGTGATAACCGTTAGACTGATAAGGAGTTGTTGCGGGGGCCTTAAAGGAAGAACCCCCTTGAAGAGAAAAACCTTCGAAAATATAATTAAGCTATATAGCTAAGTTAAGTTTTATAAAATGATCACATAACGAAAAAAATATTAAAGTAACTTAAAAAAAAAGTTTATCTTTTTACTTAACAAATTATAACATAAAATTCAAAAAAACATTAAATGCGAAAGCTAACATATATATTATGTTTTTATATATTAAGTAAAAATATAATTTATTTTTAATTTAAATATTTACATTACTATTTATTATTATACAATTTATTATATATTATATAAGTTTATTTTATTACTGATTAATAACTATTACTATTATTGTTTATAAATAATTAATCAAAATTTCTAATTTGATAATAGATAAATTATTAGTTATGCGTACTCTTACAACAAATGAAATTTTACGTTTAATATTAATGTATAATTTTGAATTTATTCAAAATGGATATAACAGCTCTTAATTATGACGCAAAATTAATATATTATGCCTGTGGCTGAACTAGGAGTGGAGTTGCCAGCGAACATTTACTTTTTCTCAAGTTATATTGTTCAACTTGCAAAGGCTTTGTATTAAAGTTGTTTCTATAGGCGTTATCAAAGTAACAAATATTTCTATTATAATTTTTTGATGTATTTAAAAATATTATTAAAAACAATTCAGTATCCAAAAATAATTAAAGAATCTTAAAACTGCTAATGAAAAACGGGTCGATAACACCTGCACCCCACTTCTTACTGTTTTAATTTATTTCCTAGGGAAGACACGTGGCATTATCTATACAAAGTTCTCAACGACTTTAAAATTAAAATGCCCAAAAATTCTTGCATGCTAGTCTCCGGACAACAGTGCTCATATGAAAAAAATTAAAAGTAAAGTAGACAAGTAAAAAGGATATCCGACATAAAAGGGTCATAAGAATGAGCAAAAACTTTTTTACCTTTACGAAAATAATTCCTTATAAGAGTTGTGTAACATTTTCATTGTTCCTTAATAGCCCGAAGAAACTTTTTGTTAAAACCACTTAACCTAACTTTCCTTCTAATTCACTATCTTCTCGCAAAGGGGAGTTATAAAAGTTTATAATGTAATCAGAGCTTTGAGATTTATTAAAACTTTTATAGCTTTTGCTCGCAAATATTTTTGCTTTTGTTTGTCTCTGTACTCTTCGGCGACGCCAACACTTAATAGTTGCTATAGGTTACCTTAATTAAACACAAAATGAATAAAAAATGTTGATAGACCTTGAAAAAGGAGCGATTTAGACTTTCTAAAAATCTTCAGTGAGTTAGAAAAAGAGATAAAAAATTGTCCGCCTTATGGCCACACAAGGTGGGAAACTCAAACTGTATTCAATAAAATGGCTCTTTGTTTTAAGTAGACACCCCTGCTTATGATGGTACTATTTACTAGTATACCATTAAGCTTACAGTTATAACGTAAAATACTCTTTAACTAGTGGCAACCAGACACTTATAAGAGCTTATCCATAATTTATTAATATTTAAGCTTGGTTCATAGTTTGTACATTATGTACGATTTGAATTCGATAGCCCTTTACTTACTGTTCTGTTAATCAATTTATATTCTAACAAAAGTATATAAACAATTTGTAACTTAAAAAAAAAAATATTTTTTCTTTTTTTTAATTTTAGTATAAAGTTCGTTGTTAAAGGTGGTTATATGTATATTTTGATAATATTGATTGCGTTATTATAAAAAGGGTTTTTGTTTAATAGCTATAATTTTAAATTTGAATTAACGTATAAGTTATGAGATTGTGTATTGTTATAATTGTTTTTATGCGTGTATACTAGACAATAGAACGTCTTATTGTTGATTATGTTTATATAATAGGTGTTTAGTAATTGTATGAACCGCAACCAGCTTCCTAGTCCCCTAAATTTTCCATACTGCAATAAGTTGATGCTCACGTATAATAACAGCAAGAAATAATTTATTAAAGGTATTGAGTGCTAACTGTAGTATCAATCCGGCAAAGAGGAAGTTTCTATAACGTAGATTGTTAAACAAAGAATTTTTTTGTTATAACTCAACAAAAAGCTCGAGATAGTTTTCAATTCTTTTTTCTTAGAGTAGCCTTAAAAAACCTAAATTTTTCGCCGTTTTTAATTCCGTTCCTTCCATCAATGTTATCTTTTTACTCTGTCTATTCAGAAAAGTTTTAAAGTGACATTATATTTAACTAATTTATCGAAAATAACTTAATACTTAAAAATAGTTGCAATTCTCCCCATTCTCTTTTCTGGTCAAATATTGGTGTTAAAACAATGTGCAAACAAGTGCTAAAGTTTTTTTTTACTAATAAATTTAGTAGTATATTTGAATTTTTTTTGGTTAAATTTTTAAGCTATTAACAGCCCTTCTTTTCAATATGGTGTTTCTTATTAATAAGCTATATAAATTCAAGTATGATATCTTTAGCCTAACTGTATAGTTTAATTGTGTAAAAGCGAACAGTACAAGCTGATTGATGCTTATATTAAGTTACTAAAAAATTGATAAGACAAATAAGTATATACATATATTTTAATAACAAATAGTATAAAGCAGTTATATTAGCTACTTAAGTGTACCTATAAAAGAGAATATTCAGGAAGACAAAATTTACTTCGAATATATGAATAAATTTTATACGTTTGTCTGACATACTTGCTATTAAATTGTAAAAAGCTGTTGCTTTTATATTTAAATTATATTCCTTCTTGTATAAAGATGGTGTATAAGCACGCTCTAAATTTAAATATACACTAGTCTATTTTATCTTCTTTTGTTTTTAAATTAATTTAAGTAAAAGTAAAAAGAATTTGGGTTAATGCACTCATAAGCTTATGACTTTCTCTACATTTGCCTTAATTAAAACGCCGATACTAGTCGTTTATTGTTAGTCTCCGTCAAAAAGTCGTACACTGTATACCTCACGGACTCGTGTGTTTTCTTAGTTTTCTCGTGCATTAAAAGGTACTATTCGTAGGACGACTTCTTTTAACTTTAAAAAAAAGTAGTATTAGAGGTTAATGCGAGTCTTTTTAGAAGACTTTTGTGTGAAGCAATTTTTGTTTGCTAGCTACTCTTTTTCTTTTTCTCGGAGATCCAATTTACGGCTCACCACTAAGTATTCTTATAGGTACTCACCTTTCTTTGTTTCCTTTATGCTTTATTTATTTATTTAAAAAGATCAAGTGTTATTTTTTAAAGAGTTCAATAAAAATGACTTACTAATTTTATTTTTGTAGGAACTTTTTTAATTCATCGCTAAAAAGTGGCCTCAAAAGTTCAAATTTATGTAGGTCACCTAAAAGTATTATTTCCCCCTCCCCTAAATATTGGTATATTCTAAAATTTACTGTAACAAGATTCGCTCCGCTTTACTAATTTGTTGGCTTTACCTGTTCTTGCCTGGGGCTTTACTAGAGAGAAGCGGACTTTATGCGATTCCTGTTGATTTATTTTTGTTACTTAATGCTTTCGTTTCTATTATTTCCTAAGAGCCCCTCTCCCTCCACTACTTTCTTATTACTAGTATTAGAAAAGAAAACTGTAATGATAAGTTTTTATTTTAAGTTTTATTTTACACTCATCTTTTATCATTTGTGTTTTTGTTATATTATGTATTTTTTTTTACCAGTTCAGTAATTTTTGCTACTGTATCACCATTTAGCGAAATTTTCAAAGTTTTCTTTTAAATTTTGGACGAGCTCAAAGAGCCCTGCAGTATGCACTTCGCCATCGAAGACTATCAGAAGCTCTTGTTTTAAACATTTACTTACTTTAGCTAAATTAGAAAGGCTTAGATTATTTGGTATGAAAATATACACCTGAATTATTTTTGTCAGCTAAATAAGTATTAATAGGTGGTATGTTCTTGCTTTGCATCTCCTCCTTTGTGACTATGGCTCTTCCTTTCGGCATCGGAAAAATGATCGGTAATTTTTGACTGTAAACTTTTTATTTTTTTATATATTAAATGTCGACCGTGGCGCTCCTCGTTAATATAGTTTTTTAACTGTTCTCATAACACTTACTTTTTAGTTTAATGTTTTTATCGTAATATTTATTTAATTATAATTAATTCTTTTTCATGATTTAATTTTTTTAAATTTTTTGTGACGTAAATTAGTATAAATAGTTTGCATATAGTCTTGTACTTTTCAACTTTCTTATTTATTTTTTACTCCACTTTTAGAATCTTTTGATTTCTTTGTGTTTTTCCTTCCAGTGAAGCTCATACTTTTTTATTATAACTTTAAAAGAAACTTTGAAGTAGTTATTATTACAATAATTTCATCAGATTTTGTTTTTGATGAGAACATTGGCCTTGTAAAATTCAGAAATGCATCTTTGTTTCTCAGCGGAATTTTTTTCATCGGGTAATTTTTCAGTGGTTGTTAAATTTACTTATTAACCCGCTAAATAAATATATATTCCATAAATTTATTACTTAATAAATCTGTGGATTGCTTTGTTGGGAATTAATTACCTTACTGATTATTTTTTAGAGCCTGCGCCAACTTTGGTCGTGTGTATTTGTTCAATACGGCGTCCAATAACATCGTGGCCAATCTCCGCAAAACCGTTTTCAGCTCTATCATGCTGCAGGATATTTCCTTTTTTGACAAAGTCGAGATATAAATTATAATTTGTGCATTGAAAGTTTCATATATTTAGTGGGGTTGGAAAAAAGTTGTACACGATTACCTTTTTTTTCTTTTATATGTGATGGCTTCCTAATTTTAAAAACGGATCTTTTTTTAATTTAGAATCAAAGCGGCCAGCTGGTAAACCGTTTATCTTCGGATTCCCAAATTGTTGGATCGATTTTAACCACTAATATTAGTGATGGTTGGAAAGAATTAAAAAAATAATTAGTTGAATTAATTGTGAAATTAATTCATATCTGTTAAAAAAATAACTAATTTTTATTTGTTTTATATTTATTACTAAACTTGTTTATAAATTTTTTTATAATATTTTTTATAAATATGATTTGTATAATTATTTTTTGTTAACTTGTTTAGAACTTTTATAATAAATTTATCCAGAAATGGTTTTGTATCTTAATTTTTTTTTTACTTTTCTTATTGGGTTTAATAAATTTACTTCTTTCGAATTTTTAATTTGTATATTACTTTCAGTACGCACCCGAACTTTTGACTTAATCTTCTGTACTATTTATCATATTTATATTCAGATTTAAAGAAGTTTAGGTCACTACTAGTGCATTACTGAATTTGCTAGCCTTTAAATCTTATTAATATTTTTTGATTCTCTTTGTTTAGTTTACTATAAGATTTACTTTATAACACGCTTTTACCTGAATTTCATGATTATACTATTTTTTTAATTTTTTTTGTATAGCTGCTTATAAGTTTTTTAATAATCTCTTATTTTTTCTGACTGAATAGTCGACTAATTTTTTTAAACAATTTACTATCATTCCTATATTATTTTACTTTCTGTTAGCTTTGTATACCATTGTATATATGTTTCTTTCGAGATTTTTTCGTTTATTATGAATCTACTTAAAATGCTCGGCAGGCTTGTAGTTTTTATCTTGTTATATTATAATACGTATATATATATAAATTAATAGTTCTATTCTTTGCGTTTCTAAAAATAAAAAAAATTATCAAAACTTTTTAATTCATAAAAAGGATTGAGAAGTCTTATTCAAAGTTTAGTTGGCTTTGGAATGATGTGGCAGATTTCTCCTCTCCTTACTGGACTTGGTACTCTTTAACTGTGATTCGTACCCTTTTTGCGGTTTTCAAGCGTCTCTCTTTTTTGTTATTGGTTCTTTTAGCGATGTTTTAGTTTCATACTTTTCTCTTTTTCTAGTTCTGTCTGTGATCCCCATTGCGGCCGGGCTCGCTTTGGTCTACGGCCGTTTTGTAAAGTGCCTTGCCCGTCAGTTGCAGGACTACGCCGCTCTTGTTAACCATGTGGACGATTATTATTATTATTATTATTATTATTATTATTATTATTATTATTATTATTATTATTATTATTATTATTATTTATTATTATTATTATTATTGTTATTGTTATTATTCTTATTCTTTTTATACTTTAAAAGGCTGGTGCAGAAAAAATTGCCAACATTAGAACTGTTCGTGCTTTTGCTCGAGAGCAATATGAAATAAATAAGTTTACTATTATTAACTTTATTATTATTTATTAATGATCAATGATTAGTTATTGTGCCGAAATCGATAAAATTACGCAACTGGGAAAAAAGGAAGTTTTTGCAAAGTCTTTATTTTTTGGCTCCACTGGTTTTACTGGAAATATGATTATCCTTTCGGTGCTTTGGTTGGTAATTTTCTCTAATTAATGATAATAATAAGCTGTAATGCTTTGTGACTTGCAGGTGCGGAGGAGGCATGCTGAGCGCGGGCACCATAACTGTTGGGAATCTGACTTCCTTTTTAATATACACTGCATATTCAGGTTAATAATAATAATAATAATAATAATAATAATAATAATAATAATAATAATAATAATAATAATAATAATAATAATAATAACCATAACAAATTTTAGGCATCTCTATTGTGGGGCTCAGCGGGTTTTATAGCGAAGTAATGAAGGGTCGGTTTAAAATTTGGTTAAGCGTACCTCTATCATAAATAAATAATAATGCAGGGCTTGGCGTAGCCGGCGCTCTTCATGAGCTGGTCGTCACGCGTCCTCCGCTTGTTACTCGGAAGAGTTAATTATTTTTGGTGTATTAGACTTTTATTAATTATATTTCTATATGTTTATATATATAGAAGAGGTTCCTCCGCTTATAAAAGGTTCTTTAACTTTTGAGGATGTTTGCTTTGCTTATCCCACACGAAAAAGCCAACAGGTTATTATTATTAATTTATTATTAATCATTATCCTTGTCATTATCTTTATTTTTTGAGGTCTTCAATAAGTTTTCCCTGCACATCGAAAGCGGAAGCGTCATTGGGTTACTTGGCAAGAGTGGATGCGGGAAGTCCACGCTGGCCTCGTTACTGTTAAGGTTGGTCCCCACCACGGTTTGTCGATGTTTATTATCATCATTATGTTCACAGATTTTATGACGTTAATTGTGGCGCGATCCAGCTGGATGGTGTCGATATAAAAGACATTGACTCATCCTGGCTAAGAGCACATGTATGTATCTGCACGAGTTTATTCCGCTACTTTTCTGATGCGCCTCTCTCAGATTGGCCTGGTCCCTCAGGAGCCCGTCTTATTCACGGGTACCCAGCAGCGTTCTTTTTATTTGATGATGATAAAAGTATTATTCGTTTAGGAACAATAATGGATAATATTCGTTATGGGTTTCTTGAAGCCACTGAAGAAGAAATCAGTAAACATATACACAATATTTTATAAAACTATCGACCATCTATCTGCCACAGTCGAGGCTTCTAAGAAGGCCAACGCTCATGACTTTATCAACGATTTTAGTGACGGTTACGCCACACTTGTTGGAGAGGGCGGAAGAAGTCTTTCCGGTTTCTTTTTGTTTCGAAAATTTTATATATTTTTACTAATATTTTTATTTTATCAACGCTTTTCTTTTTTTGTATATAAACTTTTTGGTATATTGACTTCTTTCTGTTGAGTTTTCGCATAATTCTGTACATTCTGCTATCATAACTTTTTTTAGGGGGACAGCGCCAGCGAATTGCTATTGCGAGGGCTCTTTTGAAGAATCCAAAAATCATTATATTTGATGAGGCCACCTCTGCGGTTTCCTTATTTGGTTTTTCCTTTATATTTATTAGCCAACGTTTTAATCTGTGTCAGCTCGATTCTGCCAGTGAAAGGCTCATCCAGGAGGCCTTGGATCGGTATTGGTAATGCTTACCCCAAACGGACCACTCACTGACTGTGCCGGTAGATATCTGTTGGGCGACCGAACTGTGCTCATCATAACGCACCGCCTCACGACGCTCCGGCGGGTCAAAAAAGTCGTGGTCCTCGCGGGTGCTTCCTTTCCGCCTCGTTTTCTTATTTCATTAATTTTAACACAATAACTATATTAAGACGGGCGAATAAGGGAACAGGGAACCCTCGATGAACTCATGCAAGGCAAGGCGCCCTTGTTTAAAAGCTTACTGGCTCGCGAACTTTCAGGTGGCGCCTATCTACTTAGTCCTGCTGAGAACGCACACGCCAACGCCTTATAATCATAATCGGTACACTCCACCAATTAGCGGATCTCATTAGTAAACTCGACCAATAAAAAAGATCGGAAGCATTTATTAGTGTTTACTCTAGAAGCTCATAGCCCTTATACTCATGTCGCTAAGTGTTACCTCTGGTAAAACTCTGTTTTTTCGAAGCTGGTCATTGGTCTAAGCAAGCATAAAGTTTCGCTAAAATGTTCGGGAGTCACGAGGGGGTCGGACAAGCTCTCTCTGAGCGCCGACATGGCAGCTTCCCGGCAAATGTTTTCAATGTCGGCGCCCGTGTAACCGGCTGTCTGTAGTACGAGTGTAAGTCATTCAAGATAAATACTATAATTTTTTATTAACGGAGAACCTTTTTGGCCAAAGAGAAGAAGTCCACCCCTTCACTCAGCTTCATGTTCCTAGTGTGAACTTTAAAGATTTCTATGCGAGCGTTGAGGTCTGGAGGAGGGACCTTTATTAGTGAGACGCAAATTTTATAATAAGGAAACTGTATTTCTCTGCGCCTCACGCACATGTATAAGTTTATCGAACCGCCCTGGGCGTATAAGGGCGCTGTCGAGCACAGAAATCCGGTTGGTTGCTCCCTTGTGAAGTCGTCAGAAAAATAGACTTTGAAGTAAAGCAGAGACCCACCAGAAACACTACGTGCCCTGTTACGGTGACACCATCCATTTCGACCAACAGCGTGGAAAGAAGGCGTTCCTGAACGCCATCACCGTCTCCTCGCCTTGCTCCGATAATCTTGGCAAGAAATGACTTATTAGGCTATTGTTCAAAAGAGGAGCACCAGCAGGGAAGCACATCTATTTCGTCGAAGAACAGAAGTGAAGGGCTCGACTGCAGAGCCCGCTTTACCATGCTAGAGACTGGAAACCGTCTTAAAAGACCGTCGCACAGTACTAAAAAAGACTTACTTGTCCTTTCAGCTTCGCCGACGTACGAGTGGAACATTTGCGCACCGCTCAGCGTGAAGAAAGAAAACTCTCCTAGGGAGGCCAATATCTGAGTGAGGCGTCGCAATTTGTAATGAGCGGAGCATGCTCTACAGCGACCTTTACGAGGGTAGTTTTACAACAGCCTGGAGGGCCGTAGAGGAGCACCCCCTTCGGAGCCGAAAGGCCGAAGCGCGAGTATCTTTCTTTATGCCGCAGAGGATGCAGAACAGACTCCTCCAGTACTTTTATGACGTCATTTAAACCACCCACGTGCTCCCAGGTCAAAGTATCCACATCAACCATGTGTTCTTTCAACGTGGAAGGAGGCACTTTATTCATGCTCTCCACGAAGTCAGCCAGCGATAACGAAACGTTTTTCTGACCACTCACATGCCGGGAGAGACCGCGATGGAAAGTCACGAGGCAGAGGTTGTTGAGATCGGCTCCGGAGTAACCCCGGCACATCCCTGCTACATAGTCTACGGGGCTTTTAAGGATAATACTAAGAAACTGTTGGGGTGCTGCACCTAAATTTACTGAAGGGTCTAGTGGAATGTGCTCCAATAGAGCATTCAAGATGGAGAGGCGGCTGGATTTATCGGGTTGTTTCATGTGGATTTCCCTGTCAAACCTTCCAAGCATCATATCTTTTTTGCTTTATAACGAACGTGAGCGAAAAAGCTTTACCTTCCCGGACGGCGCAATGCGCTGTCAATGACAGCTGGATTATTGGTAGCGCCTGGAGGTAGACAGTCACATTTTTTATTGATAATTAAAGGGGTATAAAGTAATAGTGTGAGTCAAATAAATAAACAAGACAGAATACAAGCGTTCATAAGATCTGCCAACGGCAAGAACCTAAAACACATAATTGTCCCCCAGAAAAGCCATCCATCAAGGTAAGTAGCGTCGCTACAACCCTTCCCTCTAGCCGACTGGCACTATCACGTGCCGGGCATAAAGAATCCTTATAAAATAGAAGCAGTGAAAATAAGAAAAACTTCCAGCCCTAGTAATATTTAAAAGATTAAAGCTTACAATTTCATCTATAAATAAAACTGTTGGCCCTTTTTTTGAGGATTCAGAAGCCAAGCTAAAAATTCGGCGAAGATTTTGCTCGGTTTCCCCAAAGAACGGCGAGAAGATGGTGGGCCCTTCAATCACCAACTGTGCACAACTAACATCAATTGTGATTATTTGAATATTGCTATATAAATATCATAACTAAAATAGCACTGCATGCCTCACAAACAGTGCGAACAAGTTGCGTCTTACCAACACCAGACGGCCCACACAAAAGTGCTCCTTTAAAAAAAGTTATATAAGATTAACTGCATATTCCCCTCAGCCTTATTTTCAAGTCAGAATTACTTGCTTGGAACTACTTAATATATTGACTTTTTAAAAACCTTTGGGGCACTGGAGGGACAACTTATCAAAAAAATTTCTATAAAGGAAAGGATACTGTATAAGTTCTTTCAGTTCAAGGTAGGCCTGCTGCAACCCCCCGAGTTTTCGAGTCAAAGAAACTGTCAAGGGAGAGGTGTTTGCTCTTTTTAAGTGATAAACTGATGCTTCATCTACCAAAAATAATTCACTTTTAAAATTGGTGGATCTCCACTCTAATATCTAAACTATAACCATAAGACAAAATAATAAAACTGTTTAATTAAACAACTTCAATGCTTGTAACGGGATGATGCTCAGTCCCAACGGGTTGAATGCGAGCCCCGCGAATCAAATACTTTCCCTTTAAAAGCCTCAAAATCTTTTCAAAGTTACAATAAAGAGTCTAAACTAGTAAAACCGTAAAAAAGTTAACTTTATTATTTATAAGAAGCCGGTCGTAGTTTAAGATCAAGTGGACTTCAAGGGAGTCGGCGAGCTCTAAAATAATGTACACCTCGGAGGCAACGCTTACAGTTTTTGAGTGTATTAAACTGATTGCATATTCCATTTCTATGTGGTTCTTAACGGCTATAAACTTATAAAACTGATGAACTGGCAATTTTTCCAAAATAGTGCTAGATTCTTTATTATTTAAATCTAAATAAATAAGCGGATCAAATGATAGAAAAGAATCAATAAGATCAAAGTTGGGTCTCAATCGGCAAAAATAGACCTGAAATAGAAATAGTTTATCAGAAAAGAGTTCTGCAATATTATACCAAATAGGTATTTATAAGCAGCAAAAAGAGATAAAGAGATAAAAATATGAACAAAAAAATATTTTTTACCTCACTTTTAGTTTTAACTACTATGCAGGAGTCGAAACGGCAACTTTTATTACTTTGAGTAATAAAGGTTATAAAGTTAAATCCTAATCTACAGATAGATGTATTCAGGTCTTCTTCACTGGCGATCAAACGCACTAATATTGGTTTTTTTTTAATGCTATGGCTTAAAGAATTTTTAAATACCCTAAAAAACCTGTGTTAAGAGTCATTAGTTAGAGACTACAATGAGGTACGAAAATCTAAAAGTTTCAAGATTAACTACCGTTTCCTTTAATAAAATTGTATCACCCAACTACGTTTCTATAGGGTCGATTACTTATCTCGTACTGCCCCCCAAGCATGTACGTCTAACATCGACCTAGTGAGCTCTAGCAACCGGAATGCTTCTATTACTACCCACTACTTTCTGGAATGTATTAACAGTGAAAGTTTGAAATAAATGTTAAGTAGCGCCGTTATAGAATTAACAGTTTAAAATCATTAAGTTAGTTAAAACATGATGACCAACTTCTATCTAAGAAGAAAGAAACCTATTAACAATAGAGCAAAAGCAAAACATATGAAGAGATAACGGTTAAAAAACTTTTGCGTCGCTAAATTTTATTATTATAACCTTAGCTATTCTGCAAATAATTTTAATTGCCTTTATTACAATCCGCTAGAATTGCTTTCCTAAAAACTAATCTAAAGGGGGCAATTAGTCTAACAAAAATACGTTATTTATAACATTTTATACAAACAAGAGGTCTATGAAAATGTATAGCTCCTTGAAAAGATTCATCAACTATTCATGTCGTTCTGTACGGTTTATAGGCCTTCAGGTAGCTACTTGATTATACCGTTATACTTGTAAACTCAGTGGCCTGACTAAAATAACTACCTCTTCGATTTCTCTTTAGGTAATTTACCTGTTCCTTGCCAAAATAAAATTTTCTTAAAAAAAGAAAATAATTTATAATCTTACTTTTTTATTATTATTTTACCAATGCTTTGTTTGAAGGTTTTTATTTAAAACCCGTATTCATATAAAAAAAATTTATTATTCTGTAGCAATACAGGAACTTGAAAATAATTAGTAGATTAAATAATAATAATTAGCTACGAGAAAAGTTAAGTGTTTCTATAAACTTTGGGTTTGATTAGTATATAAAATTAATTATAAACCCAACCTATACTCATAACCGTGATAAATAAAAAACAAATATTAATAATAGCTTGTTAACTTTGCGAACACTACCAGATATAGTTACCCTTAGAAGAATAAAAATTCGTACCTAAATGTAAAGTTATAACTATTACTTAAAAAAACCGCATATAGAACGAGAAGGGCGTACCATCTACATATAAAAAATATATACTAAGGAACAATGAAATTGCTTCAAATAATAAGGGCGAAGATGGCCAACGATCTCCACTCCTGCGTTCCCTTATGACAACTAGGCAGGGCCGTCTGGATTCCTTCCAGCCGTGTGTATTTTACATAACAATCCTATTTCCTTGCCTCCCATTCGTTCAACAGTTTATATTGTAGCAAGCAAGTGAGAAGTCGCGAGTCATCTTGAGAATCACTTTCACCAATACTTTTAAAAGGAGTAAGTATTAAATCTTATATATTTTTAAGCTCCAAAGTTCTATTATAATTATAAAGTTCGAAAAATCCAAAATTGTGTTCTCAAGAAAGTCTGCGTGGAAAAATTTACTTTTTAAAGCATCAAAATAGACGAAATGAACAATAGACGTTGGCTATAAAGCCTCTTGGGGATTATTAAAAACCCACTGGTTTTCCAGACTGAAAGTATCAATTAACTGCTTCGCATTTGAAATAAAATCTGACACGCTTTTAACACCTATATTGACTTTTCCAGCGCGAACCTACAAAGAGGGGGTTATATAAAACTTTGCTTGACATAAATGGAACGTACGTTCACGGTGTTCGTATCCATTTCCTTTTGACCAACTACAAGAATAAAGTTATAAAAGGAACTGCGGCCAACTTTTTTACTAAGAAGGTCGCCACTCACGTCCACTTCTGCCTCAAGTCCACTAGCAAACAACTGGAAAAAAAATAGAATCGGCGTACTTAACGAAAGAGAGATATAAGGACCTGCTGGTGAACTTGCTGCGCATATGCGTTGTACCCTCGACCGACGGGGATCACAATGACCTGGCGGGGAGAAAGCCACATGGGCCACTTCCCCACAAAGTTTTCGCAAAGAATCGCAAACATGCGCTCGAGAGAACCTTATTATAACAAATACGACTAAAATAAGGAAGAGCGGTTATTAACAAAATATACCGAAAATAGCACGATGGATCACTACGGGCCTCTTCATTTCCCCTTCAACGTTTCTTAAAAGTTACGAACAGTCAATAAAGGATATTTAATAGTATGAAAAAGCTGTGAAAGAACAGAGCAAAAAAGTATAGCTCTACATTAAAAATTCTTTGGCACATTTATATATAATTCACGCAAAATAAGTCTACCAACTAACTTTATTACAGTAGAGTAATAAAAAAAAGGCATAATTACGTAGAATATTTCAGATCAAAATTAAGAGGCCCCTGAAAGTCGAGCTGAATGGTTCCTGTAACAACAGCGAACGACTATAAACGCCTTTACAGGGAGATGTGGCTCAGCTTACCGCACTGGAAGGGTCGATTTAGTGCATCACGAATTTGCACATCAATCTTTGGCCCGTAAAAGGCGCCGTCTCCTTCTTTTATTGTAAAACTTCCGTACTTCTCCAAAGATTTCATTAATTGCTAAAAAATATATATATAATCCAAAACAACCAAATCAAGAAAATAACGAACGGCTTCTGCTAAATCCCAAAGGCTCACTTCCCCCAAAAATTTTTCTGGCCGTGTGGAAAGTGCCATTGAGAATTTGAAACCAAACTTGGCGTAAGTGTCGTGAAGGAAGTCGATGGCCCCATCTATTTCTTCTTCCAGCTAAGGCAAGCGGGAGTCAGCAAGGAAGCAGAAACGCTAAACAAAGGAAAGCACCTTCTCCTCGGAACAAAAAATGTGGGCATCATCCTGTTGGAACCTCCGAACACGTGTCAATCCCTGCAATGCGCCTGATTTCTCGTTCCGGTGTAATACGCCGAAGTCCGCATACCGAAGCGGTAGCTCGCGATGGCTTCTTGGCCGGTGCAAGAACATCAAGAAGTGTCCTGCAATAAATTTAATAAATGCGAGATTATCATTTTTTCTCTCTAGCATTATAAACCCTCAAGAGGTAGGCTATAGAAGCGAATAGTAAATTAAAACAACCCGGGCAATTCATTGGTTTAAGAGCAAACTGAGGAGAGTTTGCTGAATCGCTGTTAGCCGCACAGCCCTTTAGACTTTGATCCTTCTCGAGTAAAAACATATCGTCCTAACAGGCGGGAGGTATTAACGAGACCCACACTAGCAGATAACGCTAAACAATACGGCATAGTGCTTCATGTGACCAGACTGCACCCAGAGCTCCGTATTGAATACATTCGGCGTAATAACTTCTTTAAACCCACGAAGACGATACTGCGACTATAAAAAATGAACACAGAGAAGCGTGAACTCCAACGGAGAAGCCACTATAATAATATCTAAAAACCTTCATATGGTTAATTAATTTATTAAAGATGTGAGCGCCGTATGGTAGAAAAAAGGCGGCCCCAGGGCTCCAGGGATGGAAAAAAAAAAGTTCCTGGTCCTGCACAACAACAAAAATGGAAAAAAAAACAGAAAAGTAAAAGCAATTAAGACTTTGCCAATTCTATGGTGGTCTGCACGAGCAGCCATCTCCTGGCGGGCCTTCCATTCCTTTAAAAGTTTTGTGTCTGGAAAGGCAACGCCATAAACACGCTGAAGTGACTCCGCCATGCGATCGCCGCCTTACCAATACCAGTTAATAATTGTTTTAAAAAACAAATTAGAAACCACCGAAAAATACGGCGGAGGTTTTATTAACGAGAAAGGCCTTAATTTCCTTCGTCGACCGAAGGTGAGGACCACGGCAAAGATCAATAAGTGGTCCACAGCGATACACAGTGGTAGTAGGTGTCTCGATTTTATTTAAGAAGTGCTAAAAGTTTTAAAGAAATAGGTAGAATAAGGGCGCAAAATATGAAGTTTCAAACCACTAAGCAAGTAAAAAATTGTAAAAATTACGGATATAGAGTACAAGTAAACCGTACATTGCATTCGAATTTTATAATTAAGTGCAACAAACCTGCTTATATTTATTATACTTAAACATTTCGCGTAAAACATCGATTTCCAGTTCGAGACGTTCAAATTTCTGATCTTCAGCAGTAATACGCAAGCTCACATCTTCCAAAGTAGACAGATCGCTCATATGTATTGTACGCCCGTTAATATCTATGTCGTAAAAAAATCCTCGAAAAAAAAAGTATATATAAAAACGTGACGGTCAAGTTTAGTTATACAACAAAACACCTTCTTCCAAAGGAGGGCCGTGACAAAGACAACCGCCGGTGCAGCGTTCTAAAGCCTCACCTAAAACGTGAGCTGACGAATGAAAAAATACTTGCTTTGCCTGACAAGTTCATAAAGGTTATAAAATAATTAATCAAACTTACTAATTAAGTGTAGCTTAAATATGATTAAAGAATAATATTAAAAAAGAAACTTAAAGTCACTTAAGAAGCTATACCACAAGAAGAGTTGTGATTCTATTAAAAGTTATTTTGGAAACAAAGCAAAACTATAACTATCTAAAAAATCTAAACTAAATAACTACTTTTTCATCCTCCCAAGTTAAAAGTTTAATTTTGCAGCTCCCCTCTAAAGGACGACATAAATCCCAAAGTTCTCCATTAACTTCGGCCACTAAGCATTTAGCCGTTAAGCTATAAGAAAAATAAAATATAGATAAAGTTTTCATTCAAGAGGCCTTATTACTATTAATAGTATTATTGTAAACCTTTTACTAATTGAGATCGCTATATCTTGCGGCGTTGTCTTCCATGAGTAGCCAGTAATATTTTTACCATCCGGCAAAGTAACAGTAATTTCTAACTTTTCTCTTTCTTGTATAATAAAACTAGAAATTTTAAAACCAAAAAAAGTAGGGTAAAAACCTTCTAAATCCCTTTTGTATTTATCCATAAAAATATTAAATAATTGAATCCTGTCTTTAATAAAATTTGGTAAAGAATAAAGCTCAGCCGAGAAGGTCATTACATAAAATTATAATCAACAAAACTTAATACAACTTTTGGTACAAACAGCGAATATTAAAGAACTGATAAACGATTGTGTGGAAGCACGTGCTAGATTTTATGCGAGTGAAGAAGAGTCATGCATTAAAAAATTCATTTTGACTGTAAGAATACCTATGGAGTTTTTCAGTGCGAGAAAAGAAGAGACAGTATACACATGTTATTAAAAAACTTTAAAATTCTCATTTTTAATGTTTTTCACTTTGATATGAATAGTTGTAATAGAAATTATTAATTTTTTTTTAACAGTTCGCCACCAACATTACCTTTTTTTAATGTATATACCCCAGCTCAACGCCCAATGATACCTTTACACAAAAGTTATTTCAGGACAAGAAAGCCTTTCTTCCAGTAATGGACGAAAGTGGTTATCCTAAACGCAATGTTAAACCATTATAGGAGCCCAAATATAAAAATATATAAATATATATTAATAAGGCTTCCTGACTTGTTTAGAGCTGGTAGCCAGGGCGGCCATATTTGGTGGTCTGATACACTCCTGATAATAAACCTGGCGGGCAATTAAGCCCTAGCCCTCTTGAAGGTAGGGAATGCTTGGTGAATATAACAGGTTGCACACGCAGCTCAGCGGTAATTACTGGCGCGTATACTTTCAGCAAAATTGTTTTATAAGATATGTCGTGGAAATCCTATTTAATTCGGGAAAAATTAAAAAAAAACCATAGGAACCGTTTACCGAATAATATAGCTCAGGTACCTAAACAGCTAGAAAAATTGACAGGCTGCACACAAGAAAGTTATTTTTTTAAAATAGTGGATGTATTATTAAAAAATATTATTTAAAAAGCTTATAAAGATTTGTTTCTTAATACTTTAATACTTTAATACTTTCTCTCAATAATAAGTACAGTTTTTTGAAAGTAAAATTTGTGAGAAAAATGCACTGAGTCTGGGTGGTGAATGATAGCGCTGGACACTCCGCATTAGTGAGGTCATGATAACAGCTATAGTTATTACATGCCGAGCTTTGGGCATCCTCTATGTAGTAATGACCAAACTGCTTGATTCAGAACTATCGGGTGGGACCCTTACTTTTATTGCTTTACTTACTTTTTATTATAGTAATATTTAGAAAGTATTGTTTTTGGAAGGGAACTATACAGACTTACAATTTCGACCCATCTGACAAATCGACCTTTTATAATTCATTCTGGTGAAGACGGCTATACACTAATACTTAGTAGAAACACTTTGCATATTCTTGTAAATTATATATTGCCCATCTACTTTGCCGTTGAAAGTGTACTTTTTGCAGTTAAATTTAAACGTAGTATTAATATTATAAGAACCCTTTATTATTTTTTCTTTACTATTTTTGTACTATAAAAAATATTTTACGTTAAAAAATTACGGCATCTAAATATAAATATTTTTAATATTTAAAAGGAACCGGAATTCTCTTTTAATAGAAAAAGCGTTTACTTATCGTACAGCGTTAATACAATTAGTGTTCCTTCCCGTTTTCGCTATGAAAAACAGCCTGAAAGACTTAATAGTTGTAAATCTTTTTGTTTTTTTGAAAAAAGCTTATATATTTACGCCACAATTATAAGTTGTAATGAATTTCTTTAAAATTTAAAAAATAGTCTATTCCCTTTGTTTTTCTTTTTATTTCTTTTGTTTTAAGGTTTACGAATTTTATGCTCATAATTTAGGTATGAATGAAACTTTTGAGTCCACACACTTCGACACGTCTTTGCTTGCACCCGTTTTTCGCCCCAGCTGGGCTGGGCTGCGGTGGGGAGTAGACAAAGGAAACGCTTTTATAGATGCCAAGTGGTCTCCTCCCTTTTGTGGCCCCTACGGAAGGTTTAAATCTTCCTCGTTCTTATAACTTAATTAATTATAGTTTGTCAAGCTTAAGATGTTTATTTTTAATTCTTTTTACAGTTGCTTGCTTGCCGTTTTACTAGAAGACTATGAAGTTTCTATTTACTTACGCGATGCTTCCTCAAGGACGTGCTGGAGTAACGTACCTACTTATAATTTGTATTTTGGTTTTGCTTTGTTGGAATTTTATATATCTAAAAGAGCTAAACTTTACTTTTTATTATTGCACTAATTTTGCGCAGTTTTTGAATGTTTCCTCACTTTTACGGACAGAAACACAGTCCTTTGCTAGGTATTTTATTTCTTATTTTCTAGCGTTTACTAGTAGTTATACACTTTTCTTGATGACTTTTTACGACTAAACTTCTATAATAGAGGAGTAGGCGAATCTATTACTTCATGTCAAGAGGTGTCCCCTCCTTTTCGGAGTCACGTGACTCTAAGAATTTCTTTGTAGGAGGAACTGCGTACATTCGTCCAACTACGTCACACATGCTGTCCATGTGCCCTCGCTTGGTCCCCGGTTTTACCACGCGCCGAGGTGTATCTGGTCACTTGGATATCATTATTTTCTTAACAAAGAACAGATGGCAGCCAATGATAGAGAGGGCCGATTTGCACTATTGACGTTGGGCGCTCTTTCTGGAGAAGTACTTGTGTTTTGTCTTTTTATGCTCTTTGTTAATTAGAGTTATTTATTGAAAAGGTAACATTTTGGCGCTTCGTTGTTCCTTATATAGAGTAAGTTTGTGTATAGAACTTTTCTTTTATGCCCTCAATGTGCCTTCTAAGTTGTAAGAGCTGTCCACTGGTTTTTCGGCATAAAGCTCGCAGCGAGCGGGTCACTGCCTTGGCTTGGCTACCGAGTACTTCTGGTAGGCTTGTTAGAAGCAGCAGTCACTTCGGTGCGACCAATACTTTCGTCGGTACAGAATCGCTAATGGCTGTGGGCTACGTGGACGGCGCTGTAGAGCTCTGGTACTTGCGGGCCTCCGAAGATTCGGAGTTTGTTGTTGAAAGACTTATGTTACACGACGCTGATCGAAGGCACCCGATTCATTTTGAATGGCGGATCTCGGAAGTTTTTAATATATATACTAGTCGTTTCCTCTCATGAACTGCTTTTACCCACTTCTTAAGGCTCTTGAATGGCAGATCGCCGTCTCTAAGGGACTTGATCTCTACGTACATATACGAGGGAAAACCTTTCATGTGGCTCGGAAGAGCATGTATATAAGCGGTGGGTTTATCGCTTTCGTGCCTTTCTGGACGATTGTAGATTAAAACTGCTTCCTTTAGGGATGAAATGGCTCTCCAACGACGAGCTTCTGGTGTCCTCGCTTGATGAAAGTCTTGTGCTTTATTGTTTCCAGCCTTCAGATGAAAAGGTTTTCCTCATTGTTATTATATCGGAAAAAGAGAAAGACATTTATTCGAAACTGATAACAATCTTAATATGCTCGTTTAGTTTTTAAAGAAAATCGTTGTTTTGCCTGAGAAGACTACAACTGTACTAGAAAGAAGACTTTCAGAAAGAGGCAATACTTTTCGTTTTCGTGATTGCAGTGTAACGCAAACATTCGATTCTTCAGGGATATTCGGCCTGGAAGTGAGCCCTAACAGGGCTTTTGTTACTCTGACCATGAGGTCGTGTGGTTCTACAGAAGACAGACCCCCGCTCTGTCACGTGGTGTTTGTGCCACAGGACTCAGAAGCTTTTTAAATGGTGGACAGTCGTTCGTACGTTTGCGCTGTCTTCCAGCATAGTTGTTATTGAGAATATTAAGTCTACGCTGACTGAGCTGCAGAGTGACAGTAACTCTTCTCTGCTTTTTTGTTATATTTACTTCTACGATCGTGCTTATCTGCTAGCAAGTGCCTATCTGGACACCCTATGGGACTCCTTGGAGTCTTTGAGATGCTCAGCAAGCATGCACGCCACCGACTATATAGAAGTCGATGAGGTGCGCAATACTTCCCAGCCCCCAGTATTGGGAAAGCAAGAATATATGACTGCCATCAACGCCGCGATTGCTGTTTTTAAAGAGCGTGCCCGCGCATCTTCGAGGTTTTAATTCAGTTGTTTAACGTTCTTTTATTTTAAAAGAAACCGTTTCTGGGTCTGCAGGGGACTTTTTCTTTTGTATACTAAGTTAGAGCTGTTGTTCTCAATGCTCTTAAAGGTTTTTATTTTATATATATTGAAGAAGTCACCAATGTGACTTACAACTTCATAATAAACAGTGCAAACTTTGTGCAGAAACAGATGCTGTTCGCTTCCGCATTGATGAGCTTGAAAAGTTTCTTTTGCATAATCAGTTGTACACGAACCTGCAGTCTCTTCATACACATTTCGGAAGCGTACAGACTATCAATGGTAATTAAATAATACCAGGACGATCCTTGTAATAGTGTATTATTTATTACTTATACGCTAGAAAACGACGAGTCCTATTTTTCTTTACTTGTGGCGATACATATAAGTTTTTTCTCGACGACTAACGATGAGCTAGGCCGTCGCACGCATTCCGCAGGCATTGCTCGTTACTGCCACTTCGGCTATTCTAAACCTCATACAAGTGCTTTAGTTCTTGCGGGGGCTCAAAGGCTGCAGGCTGACTTGCGTAGTGGTGCTACATACGCCCCTCTACTGAAGATATTAAAGTCCTGGTAAAAGCTACAAGTTTGCGTTTGATGAAAATTATCTAATTCTGGTGATATCTTAATAGGCCGCTAAGCCTTCTAGATAAGGAAAAGGCAATGGCTCTTATTGGACCGCAAACTAAAGAGACTTGCGCGATTTGCCACTCGGAAATACCGCTGTCGTCTCTTTACTGTGAAATCT